CCTCTTGCTTCATGTGAATTAAAATTCTTTATACATTTTTGTTGAAAGTAGATTAATGTTTTAGAAATTAAAATATCATTGTAGCTAGAATAGTGAGGGTGCCTTTATCAACAATTTCATCTTGTTTATCCTTTGTCTATTCAGACCATATAGTAGCTCTATTGAAACACTGAAAAAGGAAAAGGACAGAAAATCTTCTCTGGGAAACTCCAAAACCAGCATATTTAAGTATTTTTTCCTTTTAAAAAAATTGAAAACAGAGCAATTTTGTGATGGATATTTTCCTTTTTGTAAATTCCAGTCCCTGGTGATATCTCATTGAAGAACAAGGTGAACTTTCAGTGAAAAACCCAGCTTGTTCCTGATGAGGGACAGTTGGGAAACCTGATAAAGACAGATGGCAAGCTATTTTGTTACACCTATAATGTGCAATAGCCTGAGCAAAAACTAAGTGAAGAATATTTTTATAATTGACCTTCCAGTGAACTTGCGTAAACATTTTTTTCACATACTGAGAGGATGGTGATGACCATATGATGTTATTTTGTTCACTACTAGAATACTCTGTATTGAAATACGTTATGTTATCAATTATAGGGTTAATCCATTTTAGACTGGCATAAACGGGATTTTCCCCCCCATTTTTGACACTACGGTGAAGCATTTGGAATTGAAATAGTCCGTAATGGTTCTTTTTTTTCACTTTTCCATAACAACGTGAACACTAAATTATAGCTGTGCAATTATGTAAACAATGGAAATGCTTCCAGAATGAATACTTCATTTTAGATTTTCATTTTGTGTAATTGTTGAAAGGTTTGGAGCCATAATAAACCAAAATTATTTTACACATTTATCCTTCTAAAGGTCAATTATGAAAGAAGTAAAGAAACAACACTGTACACAATGAGTAAACCAATTTCTATTGCCATCACCATATGTTTTTCTTATTGCTTGTGTTTTTCCAGTTACTGTGTACATAGCATTCAATTAAAGTGATTCATTTACTAGGCTGTAAGCTGCTGAATACAGTTTACATTTATAGAACCGTGCTTGGAAGGGAAGGAAACAACTTGCCTCTGTTTGAATTACCTGATTTTTGCAAGATCACTGATAAAGGACAGATGTTCTCACTTGGTTGCTTTCTCATAAACCTGAATCTTTTGATAAGCTGCAAACCTACTGTATTACTACATAAAATCTAGCTTTTATCACTAGATGTGTATAATGCACAAAAGTGTGTTAATCAGGAAATAAGACATAAAATTTGACAAACTTTGTCATTAAACTTTGCATTTTTAAGGTTATACTATTAATATTAATTTTATGTAAAGCAGAAGCCTTTTTCCTATTTTTTGCAGATTCTGATTTTATTTATATTGGTATAAAACAGGATTAATGTTAACCAAGTCAATAGAACCACCCTGGATTTACACTGGTATCACTGAGCTCAGAATTTGACTGTGGAAACTGACATAAAATCAAAGACTGAGTGTAAACAGACTTTTACTCAATTGTACGTAGATAACTTTGGTGCCAATAGCTGTGAGCCTGCCATATCGCCCAGTAGCATGACGTGTGTTGTAAAATTGCAACTCCTGAGTGTGAATAGTGAAAAAGAGAAGCTCAGGGTCACTCCACTGTAATAGTCTTTTCAAAACAATTTTATAGACGTTTTCTGACTTCTTACTTCGGGGGGGGGGGGAATCCTTTTTTTTTTAATTTGTAAAAGATACTTTACTATGTTTCTTCAGCAGCAAACATTATGGCATCTGTAACTAAATTCTTGCATTGTTTAGAAAAATGCAATGTAAAAACGTATCTGGTGCTAAAGTTGCATCATCTTGTTTTATATTGCAACTGTATTCTCAGACCTACAGCTTTGTCTTCCATTTATATTAGTTTCTTCCACTGCTTATTTACAAAGGGTGATATAAAAAGGACCAAAGTTAAAGCTTCATAATCCTGTGTACAGTGTTTTCTTAACCTAATCAACACCATGCTAGCAGTAGACATTAGTAAAGGGTGATCCTTCTAAAGGTTCAGGTTCAGCTTGGATAAATACCGAAAAGACTGGGTGTTTATTGAATCTTTGAAGCCTCCTCAGGAGGCTCACAGACCTTTTGTCCATACAGAGCCCTGCCCCCAGTAGTTTCCACAGCCAACTTTTAAAGATTTCAAAACAAAAATTGAAGATTTGGTTTAATATCTAACTTGAACAGATGGAATTAATGAAAGCAGGACAAAGTTAATGCAGTTGTTTGTGGTGTTCATCAAATCTGCTACGTTCTGCCACCTTTTAAGCCAGGTTTGCGTGCATTTTTTTATTGTAGCATATGTCAGCAGAAGTGTACGCCCATCTGCTGCTGTATAGCTTGATGCCTGATATTCAGAGCACAGTGCAATACCTACCTCTGTTAGTAATTACAGGTGTGTTGTGAGGAGCCCAATGCATTAATCAGCCCCTTAATTATGAAAAAAGGGTGGATCTTTTGTTCTGCCCTCAGAGCATGAGTTTACCACCCACTTTATGAGCTGCAGCATCCATCTGCTCAGTCTTTTAGAATGTTTGCATTGACTGATATTGACTTTAAAATGTTTCAAAGGAAGTGATTAAAACTAGTTTAAACATTAACTTGAGTGGCATTGTGGTCATTCAGAGAGGTGAAAACACTATCTTCTGCAATGCCAACATTAAAAATTCTCTCTTAATTTTATAACGGACAAGCCGGTTTATCATTTCACAGTATGCTAATATAAATATTTTAAAGGAGAAACAATAAATAGTTTTTGCTCAGACTTCTATAATGTTTTGCAAATTACTGATGTAACTTAAAAGGTTGATCTGCAAGTGGAAAAAAGATTGAGTTTATGCTCTTTTTGCTTATTTATTATATGTATGCTTTTTAATTTCCAAATCTCAGAAATGTCAAATCTGGTCTTCATTGTTCTTGAGGATAACTGGAGGTTTCAGAATTAGTGTAGATTGATAACTTTCTCGGATCTTAGTCGAAAGGATGGAAATGTTGAATCCTTAACAAACCGAGTTTTTCTCAGGTGTTTTTGTTTAAATAAGTGACATTTAAAAAAAAAAGTTTTAAACAGGATAAATAATTTTATTCAAACTATTAATCAAGTTTCACTTCCTTGATACCTGTGATGTAAAATTCTTGCTAGTTTTTAAGCTACTGATGTACTATTCTAAGATAGACAAATCTTTATTTCTAATTTAAAAATCAAGCAGGAAAAATATTTTGTGTTCTAAAATAAGTTCAGGCCTTCTTTAGTGCATTAAAAAAGTTGTGGGGAAAGGAGGGAGCCTAATAATTTTCTTGAGTAAGTTTTCTTTAATCTTTTACTAGGAATGAGAATGGTTTTGAACTTCTATGGAAATCAACTACCTCATTCTTCTGAAAAAGTAATAATTGCAGTCAGAGTTTATGCAAACATTGTGTCTAATTTTGAACCCACTCAAGTTTTGTAGGTTTGGAACTTCAACTCAGACATTGTTGGGATCATTTCTTGATAAGGACAGCCAGTGAAAAAATTGAGCAGAAGGAAAAGGAATTAAAAAATTCTCACTCCAAGAAAGTGTGTACACACACAATACGTATGTGTGGCAGCAATGCTTTTGATGGTGTTCTACCCCTTAAACCTAATGCAGACTTCCCTTTAGCATATGAAATACCCATATATACTCATTCATAAGCTGAATTTTTTTAGTAAAAAAGGGAAGCACCAGAGAAGGGAGTCGGCTTATGAACTGGTATATTGAGGGAGAGGTGGGACACAGCCCCTCCCCCAACAGTGGGAGCAAGGAGAAGCAGCACAGCCAGAAGGGAAGAGGCGGGACCAGAGTCTCTCCGCTTCTGGCCACGCTGCTCTCCCCCCAGCCTCCGAAGCAGCTGCAGCTTTGGGGCTGGCAGGCTGCAGCCATGCCGCTTGGCTCCGCCCCCCAGAGCAGGCTGTGTCCGCGCCGCCCGGGCACCAGAGCATGCTGCGGCCGTGCCACCCAGCCCGCTGGAACATGCTGCGACCACGCTGCCTGGTTTGGCCTGCCGGAGCAGGCTGCAGCCACACTGCCCGGCCCGCCGGAGCACCTCCAGCCAGGCCAGAGACATCCGGCCCAGATAAGGTGGGATGGGATGGGGAGAGCTCGAGGTAAACAAACCATCTCAGCCCACCTGCGGCTTATCTTCATGGCCTGGGAGCCAAAGTTTGCTTTCCCCTGAATTATAGGTCGGCTTATGAACGGGTCATAACATTTTTCCATTTTTACTTATCCATCTTGGGAGGGTCGGCTTATAAACAAACAGGCTTAAGATGGAGTATATATGGTAATTCATTAAAAAACGATGTTTACCCCATCTAGTTTATTATGATAACTGGTAGGTGTGATTTCTGGTAAAAGTTAAACGAAGATTTCTCGGTTACTCTCTTTTTCTTTTCTATGCCCAGGTACTTTTTGTGCATTCCTATGAAGCAGTCATACTAAAGTTTTAATAATGGCTATAGGTTATTGTCTTGAACTACTCAGAAACAAGGACATCAGCTAGTGTAATTTCATTAATGTTATATAGCTATGGAAGCCTGAATAAAATGATTTTATGGTCCATTTCTGATGGTATATCTGTTTATCATAATCTTACGAACCAGTTGAATGTTTTAGTATATCTAATAAACATAAAATGCATCATCTTATAAATAGATGTTTCCTTTTCAATGTGTTTCTAAATAAAGAAACCTATGAATTTTTCTCAAAGGGAGTAAGAATTGAAATGTTACAGAAATTGGAAACCATTTTAGGAGGTGTGCGCCTCGAGGACAGAATAGTAAACCAGATCAATGTATTGGGGTGCTCCATTATATGTATATTTGTGGTTTATATATCAAATATTAGCACTTAATTTCTGTTACCAGTAACATCATTATAAAATACAATGATAAATATTCTCAAATATTTTTTCTATAAAAATTGAGAGAAGTCTCCTTCTTTTCAGGATATTTTAAATACCGTCATAAAACACTGCCCATCTTGCTTTTTCTTCTTGGGTTTACCTGGTTTTACAATGCTGATAGGAGACTTCATCACAGCTGCAGCCAGAGTCCTTAGTACAGACATGTTGGAGGTGAGTATGACAATGCTCAACATCCAAGTTCCCAGGAGAGTGCACAATCGCTAACAAGGTTCAGATTTCTCTACTCTAACAGGTGTTGACTCATTAGTGCAATGTGAAACTGGGCTCTCGGGGCAGATACCATGGCAGCTGATGTGTGAAATTGTAGGATAAGGTGACATACTAGTATTGCAAAGGTGTTTCATCAAAAGGCCAAAGTGTGAGAAATCATATCCTCACTAATATTGCAGCACATTTACACACTAAAAGCAAGACTTGGGTTTCAGAATCTCATTAGCTTTCTACAAGAAATGAATATTGAAAACACAAAGCTTTCTCATAACAAATGCAGATTTTCCTACATTTTAAAAGGGTTAATAGCAGTATGAACCAGATACCATCAAATCTAATTTAAAAAATTAATAAAATACAAAACTATTACTGGCAGGCTAAAATAAGTTTAAAGGTCTGACAAGCCTGCAAAAGCAGAACTAGTGCATAAGAATGGGACATCAGAACAAGGGTATTCTTTCTCTGTGATTGTAACTAGTATAATTATTGATGTTCTTCTGCACAGTAACTTCAGATTGTTGTGTAGAGGTATGTTAGCTGCAATAGCTAGACATAGTATGAGTTAAAGAAGAAGAAAGATCACTTGCTCTTTTTTTCAGCGGAATTCAAATGGTGAAACATTTTACCCCAGCTGTCCATAACCTGAGTTTTTGGGGGTTATCTCTGGATTTACAGCCATCAGTTTTAGTTCACTTTTTGTTAATTTTGTACAGTTATCACAAAAATTAACCAATCCGATTATTGAACAAAAGCTTGCAGAGCTAGTAAGTACAGCAGAACACCATGTAAATATAGTAAAAAAAAAAAAAAAATTACTTCCTCTGACAAAAGACCTATATGGCACAAACCATTTTATACTTGCTATGCAGTATTTTTATTTGAAAGATTACAGAATTAATTAATATACTTAATGCACAAATATCCATTTGTCCTTAGTGTTCTTGGGCAGTTTAATTAGAATAGAGCTTTACATTTTGTTGTATTCCTGGTCTATTTATATTGTCTACTCTAGCGTATGCTCTATGCTCTCCTTCTAGTGTCATGCTATCAATGTTACTGTAAATGTTGAATTTCCATTCAAGACCCATGCACACCTTTTGTGTGCGTATGTGGGGAGGTTGGTTAGTTTGGGTTATCGGTTTTTGCAGCCATAACTGTGACACTTAGATACTGCAACAATGGGCATAATATAAAAGCACATAGCTCCTGGTGCTGAAAGCTCATGAGGTTGGAGCCATCAGTATCGAGGAAGTTCCACATGGGTACAGGAGTATACGAACGCATATGAACTTCCTCGCTCAGGCCATAGATTGAAATATTTGATTAGAGAGCAAAATTAATACCTAAAATGTAGGCTGACTTTTTCCATGCTTGACCCTAACCTAAGAGCAATTTTTTTTAACCTGTACCAAGTTTGATTAAATTTGGTTCTGTAACACTGCAGTTCAAACCCAAAGAAAGTTTATCTAAAGAATATTTACATTAAATTATTTTGCATAAAAAACCCATAACAAATAGAAGCAGTACTGTCTTGTACATTATTAAAATTGTTTTATAGTGTGCCATAAATATCTACACTACTGTACAAAATACATTAGACAAGTTCCCTGGCCAGAAACACTGACATAGCAAAAATTGCAAATAAATTGAACAGAACAGAACAAGTGAGGATGGATGTGAAGAGACTGGAGAGCAGAAACAAGATAGGAAGGATTTCTAGAAGAAACTGATTTTAAGGAAGCACTTGGAGGAGGAAGGGAGAGGATGTATTTGTTAGGCAAGTCATTCCAAGCATGAAAGAGTGCAAAGCAGAGTGGAAAAATTAGGGGAGGATTTGGAGGACACTAGGGAATAGAGATGGGGTGTAGAAAGAAACTTTGGAGCAAGGTAGCACAGGCTCTTTCCAAGTAAAGTACTTTTTTTGTAGTAGTGGAGTGCTTCAAGGAGAATTTGATGTGGTCATAGATGCATGAGAGTAACATAAATTAAGCACCTGAAGAGGGAGGAATGCAGAGAGAGAGGTAGTAAGTGGGGAGTTGCCGGAGAAGAGAGAGGTTATAGTAAACAAAATAAGAGGTCCAAGGGACAGACTTCTTAATTAGGTTAAAGTTATGGCACTGAGATACCATGTTGATGAGAACTGCCTAAAAACCTAGAGTCAGGTAGCTAGATTTAGAGATTGTAAATATGTATCAATTTATAGGTTGAGCTCAAATTATAAACATCAGTAACTACCAACATATATGCTAAATCATTTAGCCTAAATGTATCAGATAACTAGGTTAAGAGAAACATTTAGTAAATAATTATTGTTTTCCTTATCCTAGAGAGTTATAAAGAGAGAATATTTAACACAAAATTTCAAAGACAAATATTTAAAGAGAAATGTGATATTTGTCTCTTTCTCTGTTTACTTGGGCATTCGAAGTATATCAATAGGCTTCTAATTTTTAATTGTATAGTCACTTTTTAGCATCCAGTGCATGTGAGTCTAATTTTAAAACATTGGATCCAAATTCTACAATCAGGGCCGGCTCCAGGCACCAGCTGAGCAAGCTGGTGCTTTGGGCGGCAGATTGATCGAGGCGGCATTCTGCCCAAGCACGGACGCCTTTTTTTTTTTTCTTTGGTTCCGCTCCAGCCGCCCTGTAGGGGGCAGCAGCCCGGAGAACCAGAGCGCCCTGCAGGGCAGTCCTCTTCCTTCCCTCCCCGCCGACTGGAGCGGAGCCCTTGCGGCAGGCGGCAAGAGGCGGCGCAGCGGGAGGGGCCGCGTGGCAGCGCCCCTGCTGTAGCCCTGGCCGCCCCCTTCTCTCTCTCTCCCGCCCGCTCCCTCCCCCTCCTGTCCCCCCCCCAGCCGGTCCCCCTGCACCCGTGCTCCAGCCGTGCCACAAGTATTTTATTTGTAATGAATGCAGCATAATAATGTATGCATAAATTGCTATTGATATGATACTGCATGAAAGTAGCATTTTGAGCACTTCCACATCACTTGGTTGAGAGAAATAATTAAAGCTAGCAAAGATTTAAATGCCTCTATCATCGGTCCACCAAGCACAGCGCACATCTTGTAGTTTCCTATTATAGTAGAACCTCAGAGTTACGAACACCTCAGGAATAGAGGTTGTTTATAACTCTGAAATGTTCGTAACTCTGAACAAAACATTCTGGTTGTTCTTTCAAAAGTGTACAACTGAACATTGACTTCGTACTTTGAAACTTTCCTATACTGATTAAAAATGCTGCTTTCTCTTTATTTTTTTAGTAGTTTACGTTTAACACAATACTGTGATGTATTTGCTTGGGGGTTTTTTGGTCTCTGCTGCTGCCTCATTGTGTACTTCCAGTTCCAATTGAGGTGTGTGGTTGTTGACTGGTCAGTTTGTAACTCTGCTGTTCGTAACTCTGAGGTTCTACTGTATTACATGTATATTTGAATCAATTCCACGTAGCACGGATAACCACAGAACTGTGACACTACAGAATTATCCAAAAGAGTTGGCAATAAAGCATTGTGCACGAACAACAGATGAGGATCAATGAAAATTTAACCCTGGGGTGGGATGTAATGGCCTAATTTCCAAGAGTGGTCAGTGTGGTCAGTCAGAGAGCTAGATCCTACAGAAGCAGTTGCTTGTCTCTTCTTGCCAAACTACTGACCCTAAAGACCATTTGAAAATGGAAATAGGAGGAAACAGTGGGAGGAGCAGTATGTATCATAATAAAACCAAAACTTTATGCTGAGTATGCAAAGGTAATGCCTGATTACTATTGAGGGTATATTTTAATGTATTGTACAAATTCAGCAAAAAAAAAAGCAGAAGAGAAATGTGATCAAGTACAAAGAACTTTGAGTCTCTTTGATAGTGTTACACAGTATCACCATTCTTTAAAATGTCCTCTTTATAGCTTATTGGAAAAATAACATATATTATGTTTGTATTTTTTCCTTTAGGCCCCTCGCTCAGAAGCTCATACCATTCTTGGTTCTCTTGTTTGCTTTCCAAATATCTACCAAGAAATCCCTCTATTACAACCCATCCCTGAAGCTGATGAAATCATCACAGGAGCTGCAGATGTCAAAGTAAAGTAAAATTATATTAGTAAATCCTTATTTAATCTAGTGAAGTTTTACATTTGGTTAAATAATTTGATTATTTTGTATCATGCATTAAAGAAATGATCATACATTAATTGATACGTGATACTTTCTTAATTTTACAGACCATTTTTAGCACTGAACTAAAAATATAGTGTAAATGTTTCGACTTGTGAAGTTAATTTTTTAATTTAAAGAAGAGAGAACTAGCTAAAATCAGGTGCTGTTCATTTCTGTCAGTCAAATCATTTTAATTTCAAATTATAAAAAAACTATTTATTTTTATTATGATGTAGTGAATCTGTTCCATAGATATATGTACATCATTGACAGACTGGGCTATACACAGAGACGCATTTATTTTTCATATTATATTAAAATATGAAACAATGTACATTTACTGGAGAGAGAGAACTCAGTTTTGCTCTGATGTGTTTTCCTAGAGCATTAATTTCAATGGGACTCCATAGGAGAATAACTGTAAACATGGGTGTAATGTTTTGCAGTATAGGGGCTTAATAATAATCATCTTGTTTTAAACAAGTGATAAAATGTTAATTTACACTGAAGTCAACCCTAGTGGGAAAGATTGCACAAAAGCCATAAGATACCCCAGTAATATACTGGGGAATTTGGGTAAGGATGTGGTAGAATCTTCAAATGCTAAGTAGGGAACTTCAGGTGGTGGAAGAGGAGAAAGACTACCCCCCCACACACCCACTCCTTGACACCTGGTATGAGATGCTTGCATTCTCAACCAGATATGAATTGGGCTTGAGGTTATGGGATTATTGGGGTTATGAGAAATATTAAAATGAACCAAATTAGGGTTGAGTCCTTTTCTGAACTAAATAAAGTAGGCTAAAATTTTCAGACCTGTCTGCCTAGAATTGAGACACCCTAGGCTGGATTCACAAAAGGGCTTAGGTGCCTAACTGCCAGTTCACAAAGTCTGACAACACTGGGTTTCAAACTCCGCCCCGCCCCCCTCCGCTCAGCTGCCTCCAAACACTGTATAGGCACCTCAACTCACTCTGCGCCTAAATTTTTTCAGCAAAAGTTCCCTGCCTCTGCTCACACACACTGCAGCCCCATGCCAGGCATCTGGATGCCTAGTCCCAGAGCAATGTACCAACAGTGAGAAGACAGGCATTTCTCCGCCTAATTAACTTGCAAGGCCCAGTTTGGTAGGGGAGCTCTGAGCGCGCTTACCAGAATGGGGCCCTATGGACAGACTCATACAAAGTGGCCGGGGGAGGGAGGACCCTCCTCATAACATTGAGCCCAGTGTTTAGAGTACTCACCTGTGTTGTGGGAAACCCCTGGTTCAAATCCCCTACATCTGAGGGAGAGAAGGGTTTTGAATGGGTACCTGTAACCTCTCAGGTGAGTCCCCTGGGCTATGGGATATTCTAATGTGGGGTACCTCAGTCTTTCCTCTTGAAGATTTTCCACTTTGAATAAATAGTGAAAGAATCATTTGGCCAGAGGAAGAGGGAGGTCAAACATGAGAGTGACTCTGTAGCCTGGGCGTTAGCGACCACACCTGGGAGGTGGGAGACCGAGGGTCTAGTCCCCCGTTCCAGTGACTTCTTAAAATTATTTATCCACAGTGGAGCAGCTTCAACAGGAGAGACTGAGGGAGTACCACATAAGAATATCCCAGAGCTCTTGCCTGAGAGGTGGCAGATCCCTGTTCAAATTCATCTACTCTTCAGGTGGAGCGGGGCTTGAACCTGGAGTACCCTAACCACTGGGCTAAAAGTTAGGAGGGAGCTCTTCCTCTGAACCTCCCCTCATCCCCATCTTATTGCAGAAACAGCTTAGGTGCCTAATGCCAAGAAGATGGGGAGGTGCCTCCCTCAAGACTGGGTTTATGCACCAAACTCCCTCAGGGAGAGGGGCTTAGGACTCATCCCTCATCTTGGCATCTCCCATTGAGTAGCTTGTGCGGGGAGCTGCCTAGCATGCTGGCTTTTGTGAACCCCATTTTGAGTCACCTGTCTCCCTATTCATTGTATAGGGAGCCTAGGCCTGAACTCAGGCTTTGTGAATCCCAGCAATTTTCTAGGCACCTAAAGCTTAGGCGTGGAGACACTCAGCATCACCACACCTATATTTCTTTGTGAATCTATCCCATAAATCCCTAGTTAGGCTATTAAAAGTTACTTTGACTTTTCAGATATGCTGAGCACTCCCAATGAGACCAATGGGTGCTCCGCAATTCTGAAAATCAACCGACTTCAGTTTAGATGCTGATGTTTGAATTTAGGTACTTTAGTCATCCACCCAATTTTATAAATGTTGGCTGTCACCAGTGTGGCTCTCACTTTTGTCAAAATATGATATGAAACAAATATCCCTTAGAAAGAGTGTACTGAGACTACCAAATTTATTTCACTTGTGACCCAGTCCGAATTAGATATCTAACACACTTGAATTAATAGAGAAGTAATCTCTTTGTGGAACAAAGTGTTTATTCTAATGAATTTTATTGTTTTAGTGTTACCTCATAAATATTCTATTGAAGAATGCCACAGATGAACCCAGTGAAGCTGCAAGGTAAAATCCTGAATGAAAGCGAAAATACTGTGGAGTCTTAAGATGGCAAATTGAAACAGAAATAAGTTCAAAAATAATAAGTTGGATGACAGTGTTTTGGGGGATATTTGAAACTGAGTGTGTTGTAAAGTTTTTAAAATGGATTGGACTGAAATTTCTTGTAAAAGAATATTATATTCTTGTAGGTGCTTTTTATTACTATTATTTCATCTACCTGTAAACAAATAACTATATCCATGGTTCCCTTTTTGAATTTTTGTTTTGTAGCACAGACAGCGGGGCCAAATTTTGCTCTCAGTCGCAGTGTAAGGAAGATCAAAATTTGGACTGTTACCCGCATACATACCTTGAAGCCTGGTCTTTTTGATTTTGTACTTATTCATAGATACCAAGGCCAGAAGGGACCATTTTGATCATCTGACCTCCTGTATAACACAGGCCATAGAACTTCCCCAAAATAATTCCTAAAGCATATCAGAAAAACATCCAATCTTGATTTTAAAATTGTCACTGATGGAGAATCCCCTACGACACTTGGTAAATTGTTCCAATGATTTAGTATTCTCACCGATAAAAATTTACACCTTATTTCCACTCTGAATGTGTCTAGCTTCAACTTTCAGTTGTTGGATTAGATTTTGTTCTGTACTAGATTTAAAAGTCCATTATTAAATATTTGTTCTGCATATAGATACATATAGACTGTAATCAAGTCACCCCTTAACCTTCCCGTTGTTAAGCTAAATAAATTGAGTCTATCACTACAACTCATGTTTTCAAAACCTTACTAAAAAAAGAAACCTTATATTTAAAATAAAACCAAAAAGTTTCTTTTTAACCTTTATTTTCCCTTTTCAACTATTAGTTTTAATAAAATCTGTCTTATGCATTTTCTTACTAAAAAAGGTTAATCTGATAGACAAAGCACATCATCCTGAATAATGTAAAAAGCAGGTAAACCGTATGGTGTCTACTCTTAAGACATTTTCAGCCTGGCTTACTGGATGTCAAATGTATTTACATGTGCCCTGACAACTTTGAAGGATAAAAGGCAGGGGTAATCAATTTATTTTTTGTCAAGGTTCAACTTGGTCAAGATATATTCAAGGTCCAGACTCCAGAGAAAATAATACAAAAATAGTAACAATAATAATAAGTAAATAATAAGATTTTGCGGTCTGTTTGAAAGTGTCTGACAGTCTGGATTTGGCCCGTGGTCCACCTATTGACTACCCATGATAAAAGTATAGTTGTAACTGTGTCAGTCCTAGGTTATTAGAGAGACAAGGTGGGCGACCATTCAGGGTAAAGTGGTCTGTTAACATCCCTCTAGTCATAGGGGGTAAAGGAAGGGGGCGCGGAAGGTAGTTGGCGGGGGTGTGTGTGTGTGTGTGGATGTTATTAGCTGCTTTCTTTCCCCCCTATGACTGGAGGGGTATTCATGGGCCACTTCACCTTGAATGTTCCATTGAAATATGTGCTAATTACTTATGATAAACAGTCTGTGCCACCTTGTATTTAGCTGTGATACTGAATACATTTCCCAGTGCTGAAGAAGAGCTCTGTGTAAGCTTAAAAGCTTGTCTCTCTCACCAACAGAAGTTGATCCAACAAAAGATGTTACCTCACCCACTTTGTCTCTCTAATATCCTGGGACCAACGTGGCTACAGCAATATTACATACAGCTTTGAAAGAGGCATTTGACTCCATCAGATCTATCTCTAAGTATTCAAAATCTGCATATTTTAACATGCTATTAGTTACGTGCAACATTTAATTAAAAGTCAGAAAATACACGGAGTAGATCATAGCTATAAACAAGAGCTTGCCATCTATTTTGGGAGAAGGTTCTTTTAAGGATTCTAAATTAAAAGAAATGCTAAACTTTACATTTAAACAATCAAGACTGATACCAGACAAAGAAAGAAGTTTAAAAAAAATTACCTATCGGTGCTTTTCTTTGCCACTGACTTCAACGAGAGCTTTATCCGTGAGTTCAGTGGCAGCAGGATCTGACCTAATATATTTTAATGCAGTATACAGTTCTTCTACAAATAATTTTTGTAATCACAAGTACGGCCCAATCTTGCAAGCATGAACACATTACATCCTTGATGATTTTTCCTAAGAAAGCAAGGTTGAAGATGGGGTGAGAGATGGAAAGGTCTTTCTCACTCAATGTTGGATTTTTCAAGAACGAGCAGACTAACGCTTTTTTCAGGTAAATTGGCAGGGTTGCTTATCTGAAGGAGCAGCTTAGTCACTAAGATGAATAAAAAGATGTTTTCAATTAATGAAGATATCCTTTTAGGAGTTGATTTTTTTTAAATGGATGAGTCATATGACATGATATAAATAGATCTACGTTCACTATATAATACTATGAAAGAGAAATTTATGTGTCTCATCTAGGAAATGTTTATTTGGTTAATGTATTACTAGAGTTTTATTGGAGGATTCTTTACTGGAGGAATATTTTCATTATTAGTAAGAACATTTTATTCTTTGATGGCTTTCCCCAGCCAGGAAGTTCATGGATCAGTTTTGTAGACAATGGTTTAGATATTCCTAAGGGCTTCCAAAGGTTACTCTTGTGCAGTCAGATGGGTTGGCAGGAAAGTTGGGAAAAATAGCAGCCAACTCAAAGGTTCAAAACTTAGCAATGTTAAAATAGCACAACACAACTCATAATACTTTAGGAGGGTTGCCAGTTTAGAAAGTTGTGGATAAAAGTCTAAAAGCATCTAACAAGCTTCTTGAACCAAAGACCATTAATCCTGGGGAAGTTACAGAAGAGCTATATTTCAGGAGGCTAGAACTAGAGGAAGGCTACAACAAGAATGCCCAACAGTTATCTCCATTGTAAATGAGAGTGACTGTAAGGTTTCAAATATAAAGTGGCTGCCAACTTGCTGAAGTAAGAGCAGTACCTCCCTCACCAAGGTGTTACATCTTAGTGATCCATGAAGTCCATTCTTACAGGAGGAACAGAAGACATTCAAACAAAACCAAGCCCATTGTCTCTCTGTCTCTCGAGGACATTTAGAATGCTACTGATCATGCTTGTGAGCTGGTGGAAGTAAAGTATGCCCACTCAGTCTCTGATGGTGAAAAATACCAGGAGCAGCAAGCACAGGCTCCAGGAAGTGGGGACACCTCATGGTTGTATGGGCTATTGCAGAAGAATGGTTTTGAGTGCTGAATAGACAGCTAAAGTTAAATTAACAGAGAAGAAGTGACCACGTGGTCAGAAAGCCACCAAGGTTCAGAGACAGTAGTTAACAAATGATTGCTAAGAAACAGAATAGTTCTCCCATCTGTTGGAGGCGCTTATGGTTGTCTAGCCTGATCTCCATCCTAAATATCTGTTAGTTTGTTTGGATTTGGGTTTGTTTTCTTTTCTTTTACTCTTGCATTAATTTTTGGTTGATGTTTTTGGCTGATATTGTTTTATTTACAGTTGATTATTTTTTAATGGGAAGATGCAGTAGCCATTGGAGTCCTGCCTTGTGACAGGAGTATAGCCTTTTGTAACAAAACTGACCCGTGTTATGTGGCTGGGGACAGGAAACAGAGACCAGTCTGTTATCAACACTGCTGTGTGTACTGCACCTTTATTACACCATCTGTCATTTAGAAAATAATAGAAAATCTATAAGGGCTTTTTGGCAGGAAGGGAATTTTCCTACCCGCCCATAGTCATTAGAGGTTTTGCAAGCACCTCTATTGCTTGTCAAAAATCATTCCTAAATGTTTAAGGAGCCTTCTTTCTTTCTTCCCTGCTCCCAAAATCATTGGTTGTGCCAAGAGGTAGGAAAGAGAGATGTGGCTTGATGGGCCCTTTCTCCTCTTCTCCCTGGCTGAAAGGGAAACTTGGGGTTGGTTTTTAGAAGTGCTCAGCATTACCTAATTCTGCTTCTTTTAAAGTTAGTCCTGTTTACCTCAGTGGGGAGCAGCGTTAGGCCACTTCTGAGTACTTCTAAAAAATCACACCCTCAGGGTACAGACAGCCTGAATGCGGTTTTAAAATTTGTCCCAGGTTGACTGAATTCAGTCAGTGTCAAACTCTCTATTTGATTCTGTTGCTTTCTGTAATTAGCCATAAAATCTGTCAGTAAAAAAGATCTGTACTGTGTCATTGAGAAATCATTATGAAATCTTCCAAAATACATTTTTCAGAAAGTGAGAAATGTTAAGGAAGGGAGGATATTCTTTTTAAGCTTATAACTAAATAACTGTTTCCCTTTCTTTTTAAAAGGTGCATAGCTGTTTGCTGCCTTGGAGTTTGGATATGTGAAGAACTAGTACAGTGCACAAACCATCCTCAAGTGAAGGATGCAATAAATGTTATAGGTGTAACACTAAAGGTATTAGTATGAATTGTGTTTGTGTGATTAACAAAGGGAACATTTGTATGAACAAGGTATTCTAGATACTTGAAATATTCATCAAGCATATGTTTAAAGTTAAGCATGTACTTAAATACTTTTCTGACTTAGGATCAAGATGTGTCCCAGTTGTGTATCCTGATTTTTTGGTTCTTTATGCTTACAATTTTATCTGTCTGCAAGCTTGTTTTTTAAATGCTATGGGGATTATCAGGCATTTGCTGACCATGGAACTGCTCAGTGAATTTATTTTTTGCTTGATTGAAATTTTCTTCAGGATCTTCCACATGTTCTCCGGCTGCTCCGCAGACTTAGTGAACCTGGCTTGTCTTTCACTCACTCAGTATCTAAAATATCACTGTTAGCACAGGCACCGACTTTTCAAAGTACTCTAGAGAGCATCTAATTGGAGTACCAATGACCAGAGTGCTGGATCAGCCACAGTTTCCTACCACTCTGTCACAGGTTGCTTGATGCTGTCTTTAATATCAGTCGAGATGGAATGAATGAAACAGTTTTACTTTAATATATTAGCGGGGGAAATGAAAGAATCATGAAAAGATTCTTATTTTTGTGTGGTACAGCTGCTTTCTGGATACAGCCTCTTCAGCTGTATTGAAGACGCAGAGTGGCAAAGGAATAGAGTTTGTTATGTAGTGATAAGTTCCTGCAGCTGTATAAATACTGCCTAAGACAAGGCATTCATTTGAAAATAAATTTTGATGAGCGGTAGGAGACACTTGCCTAGAGATGGTGTTAAATGACTTTTCTGTCATATCAAATGATTGGTAATTTGGTAGATGCAGGGGAGTGACCGTTATTCATTGTATCAAATTTTGGTGCAGTTATTGGAAAGTTATATTTTCTTTTGGCGTATAGAGAACAGAATGAACGTACAGTTCTTTTGAAATAGTAAATATTTTAATTTAGTAAATATTCTTAATAATTTTTCAAAATCTTATAGGTAAGGCTCAGCCATCTAAGGAAGAAGTGGAAGATATATCTTCTATTTTTAATCTTCAAATAATTCACTCATTTTTATTCAACTAGTGCTAATTTTTGAAATAATCACAGTATGATCATCTTTGTTAGCATGTGCCTTTAATTTTCATAAACATATGTGTGTTTGAAATTTCATTATGTGCGTAGAGATATATTGGTCAAACAACAGAAACTTGAAAGCTTCACACAAATATTGGCATGATTTAAGAGGCCCTACTTGTGAAAAACTCAGAGCTTGAAAAGATCATGTAAAAAATTAACCTGTCATAAGCAGGAAATGGTTATACTACATAAGTAACGATAATTACTCATAATAATTAGTTATACTATACTAAATAATGGAGATTATAGGTGGTGAAGGTAGCAATGCCTTTAGTTAAGATTGCCTGACACTTTCCATTATAAGACCCTGTTTTTAGTTGCTTATAACTTTGCCAAACTTTAACCATTTGGGCTGAAATATTCCATGCTGGGTACCTGCCTCAGGCTGATTTATTTATTTATTTATTTATTTATTTATTTTTGAAAGTTTCAGCTAAAATGGTTCGGCTGTTTCTGAGAATGAGGTTAGAGAAAAATATGTTGTTTTTCCCATATTAAAAACAATTCTTAACAGTGTCATTGAGAAGCTCAGTAGCTCTAGCATCTCCATGCTATAGAAAAGAGACTTGAAATTTGGCTACTGGCATTGACCTGGTGCCAGGGATGTGCCTTTTGCCTTCTCTGTAAAAATTCACCCTAATTTGGCTACTTTCTGAGCCTTTGAAATGATCTTGTTTGCACATACTCAGTAGAAACCTGTTAGTTTGGCAGCTAAATTCTTTGAAGGGTCCATCTGCACTGAGCATACTCCATCGCTCCTACATACCAACCAGACTACTCATGCACCATTCTCACAGAGTGGATGAATAGGATCCTATGGAAAAATAGTATGTGGATCATATATTTAAAGACTGTATTATGATATGATTTGCATATACAAAAGGGGTCCACATTAAGATTGCATAGGTAATCTTAATTATGGCATTTCCTAACTTTGAGTGTTTGACTTTACAATCTTAACTACTACTTCAAGGGCTCTGCATATTCCCACTTATGGGTTTTGTGCCACCTAGTCGTGCCTAATGGTAGAACCTTCTCTAAGCAGTGTCCATTAGCATGCTCACATGCCCCCTCCTGCCCCCCCCCCGCCCCAGTGTCTCCAAACATTCTGATGGCGAGGCTATATAAGGGGTCACAAGGTCCTTTACCACCTTAGTTCCTTCCAACCACTTGCCTAGATGCAAGTGAACCACTCCGGTCCATTCGGATCCAGGGATGGTGGGAGATGTATGTCTCCATTGTGAATTGTTAGTTGTTTAGTATTGTAGTTTGTGGTAAGTATAGATTGGTAGTTAGTAGCTCAGTTCCAGGTTATGGCAGAACCAAAGAAGAAAAAGAAGCTGGGATACTTCAAGAGGTGTACTTTGTACTCTGCTGTCTTCTTGATGTCAGATGATCACATTAGGTGCCTCAGGTGCTTGGGAGAGCATAACTCACTTTCTGGGTGTTCCATCTGCTGCACTTTTATGCCCAGAACTCACAGGGAGAGGCAGAATTGGTTGCAGGTGCTTCTCCATAAGGAGGCCCTGGAGGCTTAACCTTCTGGATCTAGGCAGTCCTCAGATCCAAGGTCCCATGTGACAGAATACCAAAATCGAGGCGAGTTCTGGGCTCAGCTTCTGGATCCAAGAAGGTGGATTTGAGTATTTCATTGGATCCTGTGTTGTCCAAGTCTCTGGCTCTGGCCGTAACCCCTACTCCAGTTCCGGGTTCATCTTCGGTTCCAAAGTAGACTTCTACTTTGGTAGCTGATGCGCACTGTTTAGCTTCCGAGCATTCCTTGGATCTGAGGGAGAAACAGAGGGTCTCGAAAAAGAGACAGGTTTTGACCATTCCGAGATCTGCATCATCTTCACCTGAGGAAAGGAGAGTAATAGAGGAGTTTGTCAGTCTATCTCCTGATCTGTCTAAACGTCGTCCTCCTAACAGCTTTCTCTCTGCAAAGAACTTTCTCTCCATTTGTTTCTGTCCTCTGTCTGGATCTGTTGTCTCTGGTGCATTCCATAGTGGATCCAAGGCCGGATCTGTATCTAGAGGAATAATACAAACCTGTTTCCTCCCGATTTGTCCCTCTATTTGGTGGTCCTCTTGCAGGTATGTTCCCATATCCAGTTGCCAGGTTGGCAGCCACCACAGGAACTTTTCAGTTGTCCTCCTTATGGATGGAGAGGTGATGTTTCATCTGAAAAAGAATTTGGTGGGGGAGAAATCCTTGCATCCGATTCCACTATATCCATCTGCACCTCTAACAGTGGTTCCTGATTCTCTGTCTAAAGAAGATGATGAAGAGATTGCTCCTCTTTTTAAATTGGAGCATGCTGGCACAGACTGTAATCCTGATTTGTCACCATGTGAACATGCAGGAATGGCTTTTGCCTCTTCCCCTTCTGAGGACATGCTGAAATTTCATGATTTAGTGGATCACATGGTGTAAACTTTTCATTTAACTTTAGTGCCGGTGCAGGAGACATCCTTCCTGGTGTTTACATTTTTGGGGCTACCTCCAAGAATAGGATGTTGTTACCAATCCTTGACAGTTTGCTGCAGCCTGCTAAGGCTGCTTGGTCCTCTCTTGCCTCTTGCCAACCTATTTCCAAGAAAATAGACAAATTATATCAATGGGTTTTGCATATTTGCATTCACACTTTGTACCTACTACACTGGTGGTGACTGCTGCCAGTAATAGATTGAGGTTTGGACCCGTTTAGGCAGAAAAGGGAAGAAGATTGATTCCCTAGGGAGAATGATGTTCTCTTGTTCCTCTCTTGGTAATAGGGTGGCAAATTACCAAACTGTTATAGCTCGCTAACAGTTCCACCTGTGGGAAAAGAAGGCACTGTTTGTGCAGGATTTCCCAAATGACAAAAAGAGATTGGGAAATGCAATCCTAATGGAGGGTCAAAATGTAGCAAAGCACTCTCTCAAGACTTCATTTGATGCTTCAGACTCTTCTGCTGGATCACTGACTTCTGCAGTTACTTAGAAGAGACATGTTTGGTTTCATTCCTCTTCTCTGACTCGTCATACTACAATTAAAGTGGAGGATCTCCCCTTCAGAGGAGATGGTCTAATCTGTGAAAAGACGGATGCGTTGCTGGAGAAGTTGAAGAAGACAAGATCTTTGTGCTTTATTACTTCTACTAGGAGACCTTCTGTTTTTTAGTTCCATTATCAGAGACTGTCAGAAAAAGCTGATACCAGCTACAGGACAACCCAATACAGAAACAAATAAAAGTGGAAAAAAAACATACTGCTATAGCTATGCAATGTACTGAAATGCAGATACTTGCTTTGTCCACCTTGGAACTCAAAATGTTTTGGGTAATATCAGGAAACACTAAGGTTTTGATACACTTGTTAAAGCAAAAGAAAAAAAGATCATTGTTTGATACCTATCAATATAAATGAATGCAGTATGTCTCCAGTACGGTGTGACTGTATTATCCACAGTTATCTTCAGCCTATTTCTTATCAAATCAAAGACATCTACAACAGCACCAGCAGTCTACGTATTTCCAGAGCCAGCATAAGAAAAGGTCCTTTAAATCGAGGCCTAACTCTAAGCAATATGCTACCTTTCTGTCATCTTCGTCGCACGCTAGGCCTCAAATTTGATATGAGGATTGAAAGTCTAGAATCAATGAGACAGGACCCTTCCCTACCTGTGTTGGAGATGTGCTAGCCCATTTTATCATCAGATGCAGGCTTATTACATCTGACAAATAGAGAAGGACTATGCCATTCAATTCAGGAAACTACCCCTTTCAATTTCCCTTGCCCGTCTATTTTTAGAGAACCTTCTCATAAGGCTAGTCTACTTTCAGACATACAGAAATTTCTTCTTGTCGGGGCTGTTAATGAGGTATCAGAGCACCTGCAAGATCAGGGGTTTTATTCAAGGTACTTTCTGGTGCTGAAAAATGATGGGGTGGGGGTGGGGAGTTCATTCCATTTTAGATTTAAGAAACGTAAACAAGTATATTCTGAAGTTTTGGTTTCATATGTTAACTCTGGCCTCCAGAATCCCTTTGCTTTCAATTATGGATTGGGTTTGTGACTCTTGATTTAAAGGACACATTTTCATATCTCTGTTTGGCACAGTCATCGAAAAGTACCTTCATTTTGTGGTGGTGGGACACCATTTCCAGTATAAAGGGCTGTTATTTGACCTCTACAGCACCGAGAGTTCTTTCAAAGTGCTTCTTTGTCGTGGAGGCTCAATTGAGAAAGCAGGGTATTTTTGTTTACCCTATTCTGATGATTGTCTGTTAAAGGCTGTTTGTGATGATTTATTAAGCCCCATAGCTTTTTTTCAAAACTGGGATTTCTCCTGGATGTCAAAAAAGTCAAATCCCTGTCCAACTCAGATAATTTTATTCATAGGCTCCATATTGGACTTGGTAGCAGGGAAAGCCTTTTTACCAGAGGACAGATTTTCAAAAATAGCTCAGTATGTTTTATACATTCAAATATGTCAAAATCAGAAAGTAACCTTCTTTGTGGGTCTTATGGCAGCTACTACATATGTGACTCCATTTGCACAACTCACAATGAGGCCAATGCAGCTTTGGCTGTCTCAGGTCTACAGATCAAATCTGGACAATCTCCAGATGTTAGTCAGCATGCCTCAAAACCTTCTGGAATTATTGATGTGATGGTCAGTCAGAGAAAACATTCTCAGGGGTGTCCAGTTCTATCCCCCTTCACTTTCAGTGAAGATAACTTGAGATGTGTCAAACTATGGTTGGGGTAGGGCAACATCTGAGTTATCCTATAGTTCAGGGTCCTTGACTTTTCAGGAGAGAGCTTTGCACATCAGCGTGTTCTCAATTTATTTAGGACTCTGTTCTCTCTTCCAGGTTATTTTCAGTACTGCTTATCAAACTACCCATAAGTGGCAATATACAGAGCCATTCAAAAAAAAGAAATGAAGGTTGATTACTTGTAACCGGAGTTCTTCAAGAGGGCTCTTCATATTCACACTTCCCACCCGCCTTCCCCTTTTTTTCAGAGTTATTTTCGTTCTGTCCCTTGGGTTGGTGAAAGGAACTGAGTTGGTAGAGGGCACTCCCCCTTACATAGTCTCACCTTCAGAACATTCGGTGGCACTAGGGAGTGGGCTAGGAGGGGGCACATGAGCACTTTAATAGACACAGCTTGGAGAAGGTTCTCTTGTTAAGCACCACTAGGCAGCACAAAACCCATAAATGTGAATAAGCAGAGCCATCTCGAAGAACTCCAGTTGCAAGTAACCTTCATTTTCCTTTAATGTAGTTTTTATGGCTGTAGTACCATTTAAAATAGTAGAAACTCTAACATTACTGTTTATTATATGTGAATATTTTTTTCTGGCATGATACTTTGTTTAATTTTATTTTTTTTCTTACAGTTTTCTAATAAACTGGTAGCTCAGATAGCCTGTGATGTTCTTCAACTGCTAGTTTCTTATTGGGAAAAGCTTCAGAAGTATGAATCCTCTCTATCCAGGAAAATTACTGAAGTATGTCTTATCTCTTCAAATACTCATGTCTGGGAATTGAAAATAACACATCTGATGTTCTGTGTTGATTGTTCATAGAATTGAAAAAGCTTCAAAGTTAATAGAATGTCCAACTGATGCTATTTTTCACAGTTGAATTGTTGCTTACCATAAAGTTACAATCTTAGAACTCTAACTTTCTTTGCTTCCTTCTGCAATCATTATTAGGAGAGTTCTTTGCTATAGTTTGCTGGAGCCAGTGTAATTTTTTCCAATTTGCACTAATTTATTTCTAGAATCTGCTAACAATGTGGAACTCTCAGTTTGGTTCAGATGCTATATACAAAAACGGCTGCTAACAGCTCTTTATAGTCTTCATCCAAAGTCTGTTGAAGGTCAGTGGTTCAGGCCTTGTATTTATTAAAGATACAAAATGTCTTTTTGTAATTTTGTTTGCCTGTGGGTTTGGTTTTTGTGCAGATTCTCGTGGCCACCATTGCATTTCTTTTGCCAAGTGCTGAATACTCCTCTGTAGAAACAGATAAAAAGGTATGTGGCATAAAACATAAACTCCATCATTGTTTTTGCTTCTTGAACTACATATTAAATGAAATCGTTTAGTCCTAAATCTTATTTTTAAAATATTAAGCTAATATTTATACATGTTGATGAATTTGATGAGTATTGCTTATGTATTCTTTTGCATGTTTCTGTTTAGTTTATAGTTTCATTATTACTTTGCTTGTTGGATTGGTGCATGGCACTACCAATGAAAACCTTACTAGAGCCAGTATCTACTGTTCTGGAAGATCAACATTCCTCCAAAGCTCCCTTACTGGATTACATATATAGGGTGAGTATGAAGGATCAATTCAGTATGAATTGTTTTTAACAAAGTTTTTAAATGTGTAAAGATGTGCCTGTTCTGGATCATTGAGGCACAGAAGCATTATGGAAGTATAACTGATGATTCCATTTGAATTACATTGAAGTTTTTCAGTTACTGTTGTTTAAATCCATGGGTTAGTTATGAAAACAAATTAAAATGTCACCCCTAACATTTAGGGGGTAGATTTGATTTTCTGGAAAGTTACAGGTCTGCTCAGTAGCTTTGGAGCTTAAAGGAGTTAAAATGGCTCCTTTTTGAAATTTCAGGGCTGGTTTGTAGTGTTTTGGGGATCATGTTGACTTACAAATGATTATTTAAATGCTTCAATCATTGGGTGGATAAATAACTAAACAAAATAGTATGTATAGGTTAGTTAAAAAAATTAAAGGGACAACATATTCTGAGCACTGCTTGTCGTGACTCTTTTTATTACATTATAAATACCAATTTAAAAAAAAAGTACATTTGATGCCAAGATCTGAAATGTTACACACACAATCTCTGGAGTATAAAATATTAAATGGTGGCAGTTTTAAGAGAAAAAAGAAAGTGCCTTGGCCAACAGATCTTAAAACACTAGAGAAGCAGGGTCCTGACTCCCTAGGTGCTTAGGAGTCCTACCAGGGAAAGCACCTACAGTAACTCCCCACTTAACGTCCTCTCACTTAATGTTGTTTTGATGTTACGTCCCTGCTCCATTACAGAACATGCTCATTTAAAGTTGTGCAATGCTCCCCTATAATGTGGTTTGACCTTCTGCTTTGTCCACGGCTGGCAGCCCCCCTATCAGCTCCCCTACACCCCCCTAGCACCTCCCACCCGCCGGCAGACCCCACGGATCAGCGCCTTCCCCCTGTTCCCCCGCCTCCTGCCCGCAGCAATCAGCTGTCTTGCGGCATTCAGGAGGCTGGGGGGAGGAGCAAGGATGCAGCACGCAGCCTCCACCCTCTTCCCCTACCTCTTGAATGCCGCAAACCAGCTGATTGCCACGGGCTGGAGGCAGGGGAGGGAGGGGAGAGGCTGCGTGCCGCGTCCCCGCTCCTCCCTCCAGCCTCCTGAATGCCACAAACCAGCTGATTGCCACGGGCAGGAGGCAGGGGAGGAAGGGGAGAGGAGCAGGACGTGGTGTGCGGAGTAAAGGGGGAGGAGGTGGAAGGGGAAAGCTGCGGGTTAAGGGTGGGGTTTGTGGGAAGGGGTGGAGTGGATGGGCCGAGGGTTGAGCCCCCCGTCCCCGGCAAAGTCAGTGCCTGTGCTTGCAAGAACAGCAAGAGGAGCAGCCGGACAATCCACTCTCTTCTACTCTCTGACTCCACCACCTCAACCAAGCTTCATACTCAGCAATGATGATTATAGTATTAAATTTTCTTTAAAATTGTTTAAAACTTATACCTGTATTAAATTGCTTGTTTAAAATGTATATAATGCCTTTTGTCTGGCAAAAAAAAATTTCCCTGGAACCTAACCCTCACTATTTACATTAATTCTTATGGGGAAATTGGATTTGCTTAACATCGTTTCGCTTAAAGTCGCATTTTTCAGGAACGTAACTGCAACGTTAAGTGAGGAGTTACTGTATTCTAATAGCATGACTAGTAAACTTCACAAAGAAAGGAGTTCCTGTCTTGAGGACCTTAGGAGATCCATGGCAATGTTATGTCTTTCTTGCACACATGTTTGAGGACAGTTGGATCTGGATGAAAACTATATGCACCTCCTGCTGCCAGAGCTGTGACTGTTGAATGAGGTCCCCCTAGAGGAGCTCTGTAGGAAAACACACTATAAATACTCAAGACCAACACTGAGGAGATAGAAGTCTACAGTTGTGTAAAGCCAGTTTCAGCTTTGTGGCCATTTCCCAGTGGACAAGCACCCACTCAAAATAAAGAGCAGTCTCCATGCCTGCTCATACTAAGACACTTGTAGAACTCATTCATTTAATGCAAATACCAATAATAATCAAATGAAGACAAGAAATACAGTACAACTACGTATAATTAGCAAAATTTTCCATAAGTAAGTTAAACTTAAATGTTTTATGAAATATCAGTACATCTTTCAAGTAAACAAAATAATCTAGTTTATAACTGATGTAATACACTTTTGAATATGTCTGCATATGCCTGAGGGATGATATTCTATAATGGCATTCCAATTTATAACAATATACCACAGTAGATTTTGTCCCAATTGTGAAATTGTACTTAACAAGCATGAAGTCAGTCTTACTTTAAAATATGCATTAACACATTTTCCAAATATAAAAATAGCATGTTTATATTGCTTTTATTTAAAATCAAGATCTGTGATGATAAATAGTTTTGTTTTCATGGCTAATATAGTAGTTTACTGATAAAAAGATAATTTTATAAGAATAAGCATTTTCTTTCATTCTTAAAGAATCGGTGAGAATTTAACAATGGGCATTATTATTATGATATCAATAATATATCATATTTATTATTAATAATAATAATTTGCATTGTACTAGCCCAGAGGAGCTCCAGTCTTGGACCAGGGTCCCATTGTGCTACGTGCTGTACAAACACCCAAAAATGATGGTCCATGCCCCACAGAACTTACAATCTAAGTATAAGATAAGAGAGAACAGGTGGATTCAAGAGACAGATTGGTAGAGCACCAGGAAACAGAGAGACAATACTGGTCAGCACAATGGCAGCATTCTCAGCACACCAGATGTATATGTGTTGTCAAGTTTTTAGTAGACATCACAGCAAAGGAGGGTTTTATGGAGAGGTAATCTTGCAAATGTTTATGAAGTGCAGCATGGGACAGAAACACAAAGATGCTTATTTGAAAATTTAGCAAGTGGACGATAAATGACGCTAAAGGCATTGTCATAGTGGAGGCAGGAGTTAACCTCTTGATAGTTTGAGAGGTGGTAGGTAGGATAAGGATAAGCCGTGAAGGACCTTAAAAGGGATGACAAGTAGGATAGTAATGGAGAAGCAAAAGCCAGTGGAGAGATGCAAAGAGAAGGGTGACTTAGTCAAAGCAGTGAACTGTGAAAATAACATTTGCAGCAATTATTTATATTGATTGAAGCAGGGAGAAATTTAATTTGTCAAGGCCAGAAGGGAGAATGTTGAAAACGGAGGTTGTTGCGCTAATCAGGATACAAAATGAGGGCCTGGACTAGAGTTTCATTTTAGCAAAGTGATGTAGGAAGAAGCAGCAAGATTTAGGGTATGTCTATACAGCCGACATTAAAGCTCACGGCTTGTGTAGTTGCGGCTCCAGCGCTGGGAGAGAGCTCTCCTAGTGCTGTAATAAAACTACCTCTGCGAGGGGAATAGCTACTGTCTACACTGCCACACCCCTGAGCGAAGAATGTTTCAGTGCTGTAAGTGGCAGTGTCGACAAGGCCTTAGACATATGCTACAATGTGTCAGAATTTAACAGCATAGTAAATTTATCTCATCACTGTATGTCACTTGACTTGATATTTTTTTTGTACAATTTATTTCTAGTACAATTTTCGTCTCTCTTCTTCCTACAGGTGTTGCACTGTTGTGTTTACGGCTCAAGCACATACACGCAACAAAGCCATTACATATTGAGCCTTGCAGATCTCTCATCTAATGACTATGATCCATTTTTGCCATTGGGAAATGTCAAGAATTCTGAGCCAGCACATTCCTATTCCACCCCAGATTTGGGAAATCTACTCACTGTTGTTGAGGGTAAGTAACTCCAAAGAAAATAACTTGAAGATTGCTAGGATTTCAACATTAACAATATGAGGATTTAATAACCTGCTAAGTGGCATTTCTTAGTTGAAAAACATGCTTGCACAGGTAACACTGAATAATTCTACAGCTATTTTACAGGGAAAGCCATGTGGTTCAACGCATTCATAGTCTGGAGTTCACTTATGTTAGGTGTGTTCACTATATTAGGAGAATACCAGTGAGGGACCAGAAAATTTCACACACTTCTTGATGCTTACTAAAATGTGTCAAAACCAGAATTTCTTTGTAGATAAGATAGCAGTCATGATAAATTATGACTTCAAATACATCAAAAGAAAACATAAAGACATCTTCAATATGACTCCAAACGTTAAATGTTTACCTCAAGAGCCCTCTTTTAGAAGGGAAAACCATCAACTAGTTAACCACATAAGGAAGTTGATATACTGTTTTGAAAAGAGAGAGGGCTGGAACTCCTAACACATCTGAGCTAGAATGGCAAGAGAGTAAATTTTTGTCCCAGTTAAGAAGTCTAATTGAAATTCTCATTTGGAGTCTAGGTAGATAATAGTATTGAGGTAAAGTATATAAAAAAATGTTAATTGTGAGTATGCTTTCTATGTTAATTTTAGTTGTTTAGTGATGTATGACAGAGAAGATGACCTTATCTATTGATTCAGATTTAATTTGCATAAAAATTCTGAGGTTAGATTACATTCAAATCCTCAGATAGATAGGAGTTTGTAATAATAAAAACTGGTTTTGATGTACAACAGTTTGGGGCTAGATTCAAGACAGCTCTATTTCTGCTGCTTGTCAGAGCATCATGAAAACTTCCCAAAGTCAATTAATAGACTGCAGATATGTGGTATGGAATACTTAGGATCTCGCAACCTCACAAAATCATTGTAAAAAGGCACAATTGGTAATCCAGGCATTGGAATTTACCGGTAATTCCTTGTGTAATAAGAGAGTATTAATACTCGTTGTCAGTGGTTCAACTACTAAGATGAACAAAGAAAAAAATGTCACTTCTCCCGTGTGCCTTTTCGATAGTGAGAAAGTCATAGATACGATGGCATTGGGCAATCACTTTTGCTTGTGGCTACGTATACAGAATTAAAACTGAGTGAATAAAATTAACTCCAAATCAAATCCTTTTGAGAACTGTGTGGCTAGTTCACTGTGTACCATGTTTGAACACCTTTTCTGCTCTATGGGAAGTTAAACAAGTACAGCATCATCAGTGATCTGATGTTGATGGAATAATATGAAAACTCTCCAAACAGCAGTGGCTCTTCACTTTTTACTAAAAATGACTTTTAACTTTGTAAATATTGGTTTCAAGGAGAGTCTCACTAGGAATGTTTGAGAGCAGAACTTAGACCTTATCTGATTTACTGAAAACCAAAACATGTCATCCATAAACGCCGGCAAGCTCAATGGTATAAAATTCTAGTAAAGAACTATAAACATGCAGCATTTCTTGGGGATTGTTGCAAGAAAGACTCCTGTGATTGTAATACCTAAAATGGCCAAATAAACATTTTGTAGATGAGAGAGAGAGTGAGTCATCTCTCTCACAATATTTTATAGTGAATTTAGTTCTATGATGTCACATCATTTGATTCAACCATTAAAAAAAAATCAACTGCTACAAGGATGTATTCACTAAGGGAAAACATCTATTTATGTATTTTGGTCAATATCATTAATTCAAGCATTAGATTAAGAATAACTTCCAGAGTTCAATATTGTTCTAAAAACTTTATATAAATCATTTCACAGAAATATTTTTTACACAGGATTCAGAAACACAGATGCAGTATAAGGATGTACAAAATAATGCTAGACCAGGGATAGGCAACCTATGGCAACCTATGGCACGCATGCCGAAGGCGGCACGCGAGCTGATTTTCAGTGGCACTCACACTGCCTGGATCCTGGCCACTGGTCCGGGGGACTCTGCATTTTAATTTAATTTTAAATTAAGCTTCTTAAACCTTTTAAAAATCTTATGTACTTTACACACAACAATAGTTTAGTTATATATTCTAGACTTAATGAAAGAGACCTTCTAAAAACATTAAAATGTGTTACTGGGACGCGAAAGCTTAAATTAGAGTGAATAAATGAAGACTCGGCACACCACTTCTGAAAGGTTGCCGACCCCTGTGCTAGACTTTCTATGCTACTTTGAAATACAGTTCTTTCTGTGTTTCATACTGGAACAAATTTTCATCACTACAGCATGTTTTCTTTTTACTTCCCTTGTACCTGTATTTTTAGTTTAACAAAAAGATTAGAGGCATTAAAACCAATTGCTCTGCACACACTTCTTGCTGAGTGGGTACATTTTGTGAAGAGCAGAAAGATAAAAATAGATGTGAGAGAGATTTGTCATTTTAGGTAGAACAAAATGTTTCTCATCTTGGATATGTTTGTGCCTTATACACTCTTTATTTTACTGTCGTGCTATTTTCAAACGAACGTTAAAAAGAGATTCTTCCTGCTTTTTTACATTTTTTATGTTATTTACATATGGCTTTTACCTATCACATTATTCATCACTCGTTATAGCTGGCTACAACAATACAATAGGTTTAATCAGGTCAGAGAAAAGAGGAAACACATTACAGTAACAGCTGCTATAGTAGCAACAGGCATTGTAGAAGCAATACTGAGTGTGTATTTTTATTCAAAATATAATAATAGTGTAGGAAGAAAGCAGATTACTAATTTTGCAAGGTAACTATCCAGGATAATTAAAATAAGTTAAATACAAAAAGTTAATCATTACAAGATCAATTAAAATTAATAAAGCTTTCTGTTGTTCGTCTCTCCCACTTCTTTAGTATTCTCAGCATCCACAAGAAAATTAAACATAGTCCCCAACAATTTGGAAACCTGACAGCTTGAAATCACTGTCACTATTTTTATATTAATGAAAACCTCAACATTAGGAATATTAAACATATTTATTCTAAAAACCAAAGTTTATGCAGTAAACGGGATATTTTTTCTCCCTTTTGATTGGATCTTCTGGGGGCTTTTTTGTTGTTGTTGTATAATCAGCAAGCACCAGAGTAATGCCCACCCCCTTCAGCTTTCTTCTGCTTGGCCCTTCAGCTTCTAACCTTGTGTTTACCCACTGCAGCATAATGACAACGTACCTCACTGGGATCGAATACCGGTGTTCATACTCCTTGCCTGAGACTGAGAGGGGAGAGTGTAGGTTCCAGAGCCTCTTTACCCTTCAGCACTTCTTCTTGGAGGGTTTTCTTCTCTTTGAGGGCAGACTGCATGAAACTACCCATACAACAATAATTGTAACAAAAACAAGGTTTATTAAAAACAGAGAGAAATAGAATTGCAGCAAGAGAAATAGTTTGCTTAACATATCTAGATTTCTAATTCTCATAAACTAGGTAAGGCATTTTCGGCTTAGTTACTGCTCATGAAAGCAGTCCCCTGTATCTAACCCTTTTGGTCCTTGTCTCAGCACGGCTCTGCTCACTGTCGGTACCAAGATCCTTGATCCAGGGCAGGTATCTCCACTTTCCAAACCAGTTTTCTCCACCTCAGTCACACACACGGTAGGGTACCAGATTCATGGCTCATCTTGCAGGAAGTAGCCCACTGAGGAGAGGTAGACTATTGAACAATAAAAGCTTAATGACCTAGCTCAGATGCCAACTTTCACAGACCTGGTTGTATCTTGTTAAAAGCCCTTAGACAGGTTTTTTGTTCTTTTGTCATGAACTATGAATTATGGACAGAGGCCTGGACACTCTTTCACAGCCTGATTCAGCTGACTTTTATAGACACTTATATCCTGTTGCAGTGTTGGGATGAACTTGAAGCCTGTCGGTGATTGATTATGCCCCAGTGAAAGAAATGCTGAATACCTGAATAAAAACTTGGAGATAGTCATCTTTCTTTGTAGAGAATGAGGGAGTTAAGTGTATCTTTTAATATCTTATGCACCTCAGTATATCAGTTTGATAGTATCCTGTCTGAATGCAAGTTAAATCAAAGGGTGTGGTAAGGGGGGAAACTACAAGGGTTAGCAAGGGTCCTTTGGGAAACTGTAGGGAAATGGGAAATAACCCCTGGCTTGGTGCCCATTAGGTTGGCAAAGTTTACTCTTCTGAGGCCAAACTTAGGATCAAAGGGTATACTAAAACCTTAAAGATGCTGGCCTAGGCTGGAAGGGGAGTGCAGGTTTGAGTGGGCTGTCAGCAGCAGCTGGAGTTGTATTCGTGACACACACACAGAGAGAGAGCAAGCATGCTGCTGAAACAATGCAGACTGTCCCTCTCAGCCCAGAGATGGGCCTAACTGGGCTGAATGGAACTTACTACAACTTGCAACAAAAGAATCAGGGTTTAGGTAATGGGAAATATGCATATAGACCTTTATTGTTTTAACCTTTGATTCTGGTTGCTAGGTACCTTTAGCTGAAAGAATAAATAATGCTTTGTTCTGAAGAAGCTATTTCCATGTCACTGCAAACTTATTTTGTCACAGTTTTCCAGAGGAAATGGGTTTACAGGTGCCAAACCCACATGCCAAGTTGGGCTTGTCAGGTTATCACATTTGGTAAGGGAGCTGTAGCCCAGAATCTAGTCCAAGAATGGTAGGATGATGTGGTTCCACCCAAAGTGACATGCAGGAATCCAGGCTGGTCACCTGGGGGATGCACTGAAGAGGGACTGAAAGGGGTTTAAATCACAGCTTGCCCTGTAACGGTGGTGATGATGTTCTAGATTATGAACTTGTTTGGACCATAAATTCATTCTGAAGAGTATGTAACACAGCTAAGAAGTCGTGAGCCAATGTCAAATAAGATGAAAGTAAGCTGTTGCTAGTGCGCTATGGCTGGGTTCGTTGCTCCGTGACCCCCTTCTGACAGCAAAAATCACTACAGAACCCCAGGAGGAGGGACTGAAGCCAGAGTCCCCCCCGAGCCCTGCCAAAGCCTGAGCCCACCACCTCAGGTTGGGGGGACCAAAGCCCAAGGGCTTCAGCCTCAGGCAGGCGGTTGGGGCCTGTAACCTGAGCCCCAAGCCTGAGCTTGGGCCCTGGGCGGTGGGGCTCAGGCTTCAGCTTCCACCCCAGCAAGTCTAATGCCACCCCTGGCAACCCCATTAAAATGGAGTCGTGACCCACTTTGGGGTCCCAACCCACAGCTTGAGATCCGCTGTACTATGGTATTCAAGATTTAATGAGACTTTAGACTGGAGTAGCAGCAAAGAACATTTGAAAACAATCATCTGTGTGTTGTGTGTCTATCTTTGCAGATGTAAAGCACTGTATGCATGATAAGTATTGTTTATTAAGAGGCTTGTCAGTGCTCAGCCCGTAGGAAGGAGGAAACACCTGACAACACTCTTGTAACCTCTTCTTGCAGATGAATGGACTATCGTTGATTAGGTCCAGAAAGAGCTGTTTCCAGCCCATTGTGACAGAATGCAGGCAGCTGTTTTGGGTCTTTGAGGGTGGACAAGGACAGTAAAATTAAATGTTCTTGAAGATTCCACTCTTTTAAAAAAAAAAAGGGGGAGGGGGGAATCAGGGAGTTTGTGAAATACAGCTTACACAGACATGAAGAAAAGCTGTGTGTAAGCTCAAAAACTTGTCTCTCTCACCAAAAGAAGTTGGTCCAATAAAAGATATTGCCTCACCCGCCTTGTGAACACAACAACAATACTTTGGTAGTGTTGTTTTGCATCAAATTTGGCAGTATACAGAGAGAATTCATGATTGCAACTCACTTTGCAAGGACGACTAGCACTGTCATGGCAAATAGACAACTGCTTTATGATTGATCAGGAAGTGATAGATCAGCTCTGCCTCATTAGATTATAACAATTATTATGTTGTTATAACAATTCATAGCCCACTAACGCCTCTTTTTGTCCTATGATTGTGGTGGTTATTAACAGGCCACTTCACATTGAATGGTCCCTTAGAATATGTGTTAACTGCTTATGTTAAACAATCTGTTTCACCTTTTATTCAGCTGTGACACTCTGAGTAACTTTCCAAGACCTGCAGAAGAGCTCTTTATAGCTCGAAAACGTGTCTGTCTCACCAACAGAAGTTGGTCCAATAAAAAATATTATCTAACCCATCTTGTCTCATCAGATTTCTTTAATGTCCCAACTTCCTTATTGTTAAACACTCTCTTGCTCTCTCGCTCTCTGTGTCTCATATCTGTGGATGAGCTACACTTTGTGGGTTATCAATAAATATGAGCCTAATACAGTAGAGATAAGACAACTCTGATAGCCAGTCTCAGGTCAAATTTTTCATAAAATAAATGTTACCACTTTCACTGGATGTCATTGTAGTCTTATTCCCAGATAATTACATTTTGAGGGAGATGTGAATTAGAATAAATGTAAAATACCCAAAAGAGAATTTTGAAACTTAAAGATTGTTTGAAAAGGAATGTGAAGTGTTTGTTTTTTTTTATTTAAAAAAATGTCTCTTTAATGGAAAAATGGATGGCTTAAAAGAAAAAATCAAAGCAGGCTGCAATGGACTACATATTGATTGAAATGTGTGGGTGCTCATTTGCTGCTGTGGTTGATTATTATCTTTGTATTGATTGATTTTTAGAAAAAAGAAGAAGAAGCTTGGAATTAATACCTCTAACTGCACGGATGGTTATGACACATCTAGTAAACCACTTAAGTCACTATCCCCTCAGTGGAGGACCTGCTATTCTTCACAGCCTTATTAGTGAGAATCATGACAACTTTTATGTGGAATCTTCTGAGCTGTCTTCAGAAGTCTTCAGAAGTCCAAACTTGCAGTTATTTGTATTTAATGACAGTACTCTTATATCTTACCTTCAAATTCCTGCAGAAACGACTGTGGATACTGAGCCAGCAGGAGCCCTCTCAGATGTAAGAGTAATTGTCAGAGATATCTCAGGGAAATATTCTTGGGATGGCACGATATTATACGGACCTTTGGAAGGCTGTCTAGCAGGTCAGACTGGAAATAATTCATTTATGGTTTCGGGCAGTCATGAAGGGCAATTTGAGGCCCAGACAGACTTTTCTCAAACAGAAGAAGGAGAGGATGCTCTTGACGAATTGCTAGAAAAGATTGGAAACACTAGTCCTGAATGCCTTTTACATCCACAGCTAAAATTAAATGAGCCATCACCACCACCATTTGGTATGAGCCATGATCAAGAGAATGAGATCATAGAAGCCATAATAAGGCAGAGTGCCCAAGAAAAAGAGCATGTACATAAATGCAGCTCTGATTTTGATATGAAAGTAGCCAATGAAGAAGAACCAAGTTCTGCTGAACCACAAGCACCATTTTATTTCTGTAGGCTTTTGCTGAACGACTTAGGAATGAATTCTTGGGATAGAAGGTAAGAATGTATCTATGAATGTATGTTTGTAATGCTGCTGCTATCTAAAATAACTGAAGAATTCTTCAGTTTCCCTGTGCTATACTACCACAATTGTGATTTACAAAGATGCTCATGCTGGAGCCCCCTTGGTATTAATCAGATGGAGCCACTGGCATAGCAGAGAAGGGTCCCTGGGTCTGAAATAGCCCAATTTGATTAGCTTCAGGGTAGGCTGCAAAATACCTTTGTTTCCCAAAATATAGGAAAAGAGAGAACAGTTAGGTTGGTTAGTAGTTGGAAAAAGAGCATTTTTCAGTCTTTACTTGGTTTTGCTGGTTGGGGGTCTATGGGACAGAACTGATGCAGTTTAGTCATAATGAATGGAATTTTTAGATATATATTTTAAGTCATCCTCTTATTTAGCTGTGTGAATTATGAAACTTGCATCATGTATTCTGTGATGCATTTTCCCTTAAATCTTTGTTTTATGTATCTATAGAAAAAGCTTTCATCTACTTAAGAAAAATTCTAAATTATTGAGAGAGTTGAAAAATCTGGACTCCCGGCAATGGTAAGTGAAACTTACTCAACAGTTCTAATGTTAAAGGCCACATTTTCAAGGGAGGGCACCACAACGGCATCCCCCAAACTAATCATTCCCAGAAGAAGTTGCCTGTGTTAGCAATGCAAATACTTGTTGTGTATTGAGTTTTTGATGAGAGAACCTTGATAGTCAGTAAATCAGCTTATTACTGTTTTCCCCATGCTTTCAGTCCATTTGGGTGACACCCTCTTCACAAGTTTGAAACGAAAAGGTTTCTTGGTGGTTTTTTTTTTTTTAAACTGGAGTGAGCAAATTACTTTTGGTGTCACTATGTATGAGATTGAATATAAGTAGCAGAAATATATGACTCCTTAAACAAAAATCCTGTTTTCATGCCAGTGTCCATAATGACATAGGTGAAAGGAACTACTGTAATTGTATATTAGCCAAGGAATATTTTCCCAAAGAAGAATTTTCTTCAAAATGATTCATATGACAATAGCAGTCCTCTAAAGAGCAAGCTCAAACCCATCTCTTTAGAACTAGGCAATGGCAGAATAGAGTTCTGAATGTTGTGTACTATTTCCCATTCCTTAAAGTGTGATTTTTTTTCTTTACAAAGTGACTGTAAAGATAGCATTGTGTCCCAATAATTTTCATAACAAATATGCTCAGTTTACCCCCCCAAAAAACCCTTTTTTACACACCTGGGTTCGTCAAACTCAACTTGGGTTCTGAAAGTCCATAAACGTTTTTTCCTTCTTCTACATCAGTAATTAAGATTCTACAGGCCAAATTATGCCCTCATTAACACCTGGGCAATTCCATTGTCTTCAGTGAGGCTGCACAGATGTAAGTGATTAACCCTGTAATTGTAATTAGGTAATCAATTTTTTGCTGATGCACAAAAAGAATAAAATCCAGTTCTCCCCCCCCAATGGTGTTGACTTTTCAGTGTAATCAGAAGTAAAACATGATAAAAATTAGTTTTTGCCACTGAAGTAGGATGACATGACTGTATTCCTATAAGGATCAGATCTGTTAAGTAAAATGGTATGATTTTTATAAAGTCACATTTCAGAGTACACTGCTCTTAATTTGAAGAAAAATTAATTGAACTAACAAGTTCTTCTTCAAGTGATGGTCCCTGTGTATATTCCACATGTGGGGAACACATGCATGCCATGCGCCCAAGTCCAGAAGTTCTTCAAAGCAGTGTCCATTGGTCCATACATGTGCAGTAGCTCTCCTTGTGCTCTTGACCACTGTTATAAAAAGGCAGTGAGGGTTGATGCCTCTCCAGTTCCTTCTTACCGCCACATGGCCTTAGTCAGACTCATGTCCTCCTTCACTTCGTTGTATAATCTATTTGTATATAGTTATATTCTTAGACTAGTAGTTAGTAGTTAAAAAGTTACAGTATAGTATTGAGTATTTCTTTCTGTCTGGTTGGGGAACCCCTCCCCCAGGGGACTATGCCCCAAAGTCGTGCGATTCAAAAATTGTGTCTCCTGTCCTTGATCCTTCTCCATCTGTCATGAACATCAACAATGCCTGTACTGTTTGGGTGAGGCGCATATTTCCGCAAAGTGCAATATTTGCTGCTTCTTCCCACCCAGAACTCAAAAAGCCTGGGAGCTTCTCCTACAGAAGCACCTCATGGAGAAGGCTACGGGGCCCCTGTCCGATCCAGACCCAGGAGACCGGCCTCACCTACCTAGCATGTGCCTTGGAGTGGTGCTGTCAACATCTAAACCCGAGGACTCTTCTTCTCGGGCTCCTCATGAGAGTAGAGGGCACTCTCATGAGCGCAAGGACAGATCCCTGTTGAGGATTGTCCGTAAGAAACTCATTTCCTCCCCAAAGCAGTCTGAGTTGTGTGAGACGTTGCAAGCGGAACCTAAGGAGCCAGCTCCAATGAAGACCCCCAGATCTGAGGGCAAGATGCATAAAAAGAAAGGTCCACCAATTCCGTCGGTCACCCTGGTACTGAAGCATAAGGATGGACGCTTGCCAGTTCTGTCTGAGTGCTGCTCCAAATCCATCATCGGTACCACCTCATCCATCTAAAGACTGTCCAATTATTGTTGATGCATTGGATCCATCAGACTTAACAGCAGGAACCCATCAGGCATCAGGGCATACCAAGACTTATATAATATCGGAGGATATATTCCTCCTTATCCTCAGTCTCCACTTCTTTCTGGCTCAGCCCTCCTAAAGCTTTTTCTTTCTGAGCGCCCCACCCCCGCCCCCAACATGTAATAAAAACTCCATGGCCCACCAGTGCCACAACAACTGCTTTTCTGCATAAAAAGCCAGGGCTGGCCCGGCGTTAGGAGATAGCAAGCAGGGCACTTGCCTGGGGCCCCATGTCACAGGGGCCCCAACAAAGCTACATTGCTCAGGCTTCAGCTTCGGCCTCGGGTGGTAGGGCTCAGGGCCCCAGGCTTCAGCCCCAGGCGGTGGGGCTTTGTCTTTCTGCCCTGGGCTCCAGCGAGTCTAATTCTGGCCCTGCTTCGCGGACCCCCTGAAACCTGCTCACACCCCCCTAGGGGGCCCCGGTTGAGAACCACTGTCCTAAAGATTATCCATACTCGGGAGGAGGACCTTACATCGCTGTCCCAGGAGCTGTCTCACCTCCAACCACCAGGAATGCCCTGGTACTGATGGCACTGTCACTACCAATGCAGCTGTTCTTGGACTTGAATCAGATGAGATGGCCACATCATTATCTCCATAGAGGCACTCGAGCCCTGATAGGCAGTCAAGGGGTTACGCTCACCATTCTGCCTCATATAACTTCCCCAGGGATTGCTGATACTGATTTCCTTGGGGTCCCCTGAAACTGATTGATCCCTCTTTCTAGCCTTGTTGAGTCCATTGAATTTTTATGGAAGGTGTCCTAGCCCCTTTCAGGAGTTGTACTGCTTCTCTCCCTCTCGCCAGCCAGTTCTGTCAGTGTAGGAGGAAGAAGGGGTGGAACCAAATCCGCAGGTACCAACAGTTCCAATGTGTGCCTCTTCGTTATCTCCAGATGAAGCAGTCACTCCTTCTCCACCAAATGACCATTGTCATTACCAGGAGCTGTTACAAAGAGTGGTCAGTTACCTACAGATCCCTTTAGAGGCGGTCCAGGACCCTCAACACCAGCTCTTGGACATCTTACAGTCACAAGGACCAAATAAGGTGACTTTAGCCATCAATGAGACCATATTAGAACCAGGTAGTACAGTATGGCACACCCCAGCATCCTGTGCCCCGACACCAAAAAGGGCCGAGAGAAGGTATTTTGTTCCTGCAAAAGGGACTGAATTCTTATTCCCCCATCCTGCCCCCAACTCACTGCTAGTACAGGCAGCTAGGTCATGCTATCAAAGGAACCACCCCAGTAAATAAAGGTTCTAAGAGATGGCACCTCTTGGGGAGAAAGGTCTTCTCCTCAGGCCTGCAATTTCTTTAGCTAACTATCTAGCTTTGTTAGCAAAATATGATTTTAATACCTGTTCGAGGCTTGTGGACTTCACAGACCAGCTTCCCACAGATGACAGGGCCCAGTTTCAGCCTCTTGTAGATGAGGGGAAGTTAGTGGCATAGGTAGCCTTGCAGGCTGCAGTGGATGAAGCAGACATGGCTTCCAGAAGTTTGGTCACTGGTCTACTCCTGGCTGCAATTATCAGGGTTTTCTAGGGAGGTCCAAAACACCATCCAGGAACCTCCCCTTTTGATGAGTTGAATCTCTTGAATGAGAAAATGGACAAGTCCCTGCACTCATTAAAAGTCTTGAAATTGACTCTGTGTTCCCTGGGGATTTATACTCTGACCCTCAAGAGGAAACACCAGAGGCTACTCTATAGACCGAGGCCACCTCTCCTTATGCACCTTATTATCAGAGCAGAACTGAACAACCACACAAATGTCAGAAAATTCACGGACCTTGCTTCTCAGCCCTGCTACTGCCATAACCTCTACTCATTCTCAACCACGAACCAAGAATGTCTTTTCACTGGTGAAGACATGCGTATCACCACTGATGCCAACCACCTCGTCCCGTTATTACTGGGGGCCGTCTTGCATTCTTTGCCCACCAACGGAATAAGATCATTACATACAGTTGGGTTCTGGAGAGTATCCACAAGGGGTACTCCATAGAGTTTCTCTCTTTCCCATCTCACAAACCTCTTCAGGGACCAATCTCATGAGGTAATTCTTCAATGGGAAGCTGAATCCCTCTTACGCTGAGAGGCAATAGCACACATCCTCCCTCATTACTATGGGAGAGTATTTTACTCCCTCTATTTCCTAATTCCAAAAAAAGACAGAGGGTGGAGACCCGTCCCGGATCTTCAGCAACTTGACATCTTTATTTGAAAACTGAAGTTCTCGATGATTACTTTGGCAGGTAAGGAGAAGCAGCTGGCTGCAGCTGTAGGAGTGAGGGGAGGAGGAGCCCAGCCGCTGCTTCCTCCCTCCCCGGACTGCCAAGACGCACAGAGATTTGGGCAGGGGCATGTCCCTGCTTGTCCCCCTTTGTGCACACTCTTGATGGTGGAAGTTCCCTTCAGCCCTCCCATCCCCAGGGCTACCATTGTGATAGATGCCTTCCTTCTGAGGTGGGGTGCTCACCGGGACAACAAACTGCTCAGGGTACCTAGACCACACAAGAGGCCAGACTACATATAAACCTACTGAAACTGAGAGTGGTCTGCCTTGCATGCAAGGCCTTTCTTGCTTCAGATCCTGTTGGATTGCAGTAAGAGGAGGAACTGGAGAGGCGTCAATACACACTTTCTCATACCTTCGGTTGGGAGCATGAGAGCTACTGTGCATGTACGGGCCAACAGGCATTGCTTTGAAGAACTTCCAGTCTTGGGCATTTGGAGCGCACGTGTGGCCCACACGTGGACTATGGTTAGGGACCACACTTCTCAACCTCCAGTTACAGTAAGTAACCTCCACATTTTAAAATGAACTTAGATTTCTTGTTACCTCTAATTGCAGCCGTGAAACTCACAAGATTGCAGTGTTTTACATTGCAGAAGGACAAGAGGACAAATGCTCAATATTGTCCAATGCAAGAGGAAGCCAAGCATATGAAGATTTTGTTGCTGGATTGGGCTGGGAGGTAATAGTAACGAATTTAGGCAAACTTCGAATGTTTTTTGTAGGGATGTTGAAATCAACATTTTAAAAACGTGTAAATTATACATTAGCTACACATATTTAAATGTTCAAAACCGGAGAAATAATTTAATTTAATTAATTAAATTAATTAATTAATATAATTTACATACTGCATGATATTTGGCAAAAGTTTATTTAAAAAAATGCTGAGCAATATACGAAGCAGAATCCTGACAGTTAATATGTTAAGCACTACCTGCCACGTGTAAACTGTGAAATATTTTAGAAAATAGTTTCTAAAAAAAGGAGGCTAACAGTACTAATTTCAATTAAGTTTATTTTTTATATATGTGTGTATTCATAGTTTATTCAGTTGTGAAATATTTCTTACCATCAGGTGTTTCAGGGGGCTGCTCTGAATGGAGCAACTTGAATGCAACTTTCCATTAACTTTTTAAAAAAAGAAAGAAATTTGCTTTAAATTATTAGAGGAATTACTGTAGGAGCAGCTTGTGTTACATTTTGACATGTTTCAGAACAAAATAAGTTTTCTCCTGTATCCCATAGGTCAGGCCAGACAGTGGTTTGTTGTTTTTCCTCCTACCTGCAGATGGAGATGGAGAAATAAAATAATATTGTATAGCTGCCCTAAGAAAGGCTAGTTTGAGCTCAGCTAAACCAGTTCATTTTCTGTCTACAATTATGTCTGGATCAATTCTGATTTTAGCTATTGGTAATTTATTTTTATCTTCCCTTTGTTCTGAGATGGTTTGTTTTCCATTGGAGGTATAAATGGGCTAGTGGAGACCGTTTCCACTGGAAAATGGTTCCAGTTATTTTCTTCTGTTCTATCATTTGCTCCACAGAATGCTGTATGGAAAAACTGTCCACCATTTGTGGCAACTTCATGGTACCCTATTCTAGGTTCTCCCATTTCCCTTCCTAGATTTTCACAAACACGAAGCCCACTTGTCAGATCACTGAGTCCTGAAAAGGAATTTCTCTACTTTAGGTAACACAGCTTAAATTTAATCCCTTTCTTGTGTCCAAAGACTTGCTTGAATGATAAATGAATCAGGAGATGCTGAAAACCTGCTGATTGTTGGGACAGTGAGCCAAGTCCCACCAGAGAGGGTATCATGTGGTTTTTGTAGTCTCCAAAATCTCATTGGGGTTCTGAACTCCTTTTCCTGGCTGGTTCTTTCCTCATCTCATGACTGAAGTCAGTGATTCCAGCAGTGAACATGGAAGTTTGTCTCTATGCCCTGGATGTAAATTGTTACATTCCCATTATCTGTTTCTCTACATTTTTGTCTTGTGGTCAATATTAATAATATTAATACGTCAATAAAGCCCTAGAGTTTGGTCTAGCCATTGACCCCCAGACTTCCATCAAAGTGATGATGATGTTAGCTGTTACTCATTAGCGGGAGAACCTCTTTACACATCTTTCTGAGGAAGACCTACTCATCTGAGTTACATTCTGAGACCAGATATTCCAAGAGGTATTGTCTGATCCTTACTATAATCCCAGAGCGAAGTTATAGTCCAATAAATCCTTTACCCCTACCCTGACTCAGTACTCACTGCGACAAGCTGTTCTTCCTAAAGCCTTGAGTCAGTAGGCTTTCAGGGATCAGATCTCTGCTCTTGCAGAGGCTTACCTCAAAGTTCATGTTGCTTTGCCTAGAAAGCTTGCATACTACAAAGACTAGCACTCGATAAATAACCTCAATAAATAGATCCATCTATTAGTGGGCTCATTTCCATAAGTACTCTCTTCAGCTCTGACTCATGAGATTTCTGTACCCATTAGAGCTGCTACTCTCTTTCACTAGACCTGAACTTATCCCTGGGCTGTTGACTGTGAAAGGATATTATCTATTATGGGTCATCTGTAGCTTCTTGACCTGTACTGCTCACTTTTGTCACAAAGTAGCGTAAGGCTGCCAGATTAAATCAGAGAGCTCCTAACTGTCTGGGAACTAAGGACCTGATTTTCAGAGGTATTGAGAACCCACTGATCCAGCGGAATTGAATGAGAACTGTGCATGCTTAGCACCTCTGAAACTATGGCCACTGACCAGTGTAGTTTGTCCTTCTTCATTTCAGCTGTGATCTAAAGGGCAGAGTGGTGAAGATGAACATGACCATGGTCGCTTGCATATTCACATAGTCTCGAAAAAGGAATTGCAGAGCAGACTGGCTATGCCTCCGTCCGATCCATTAAGGGGAACCACAGATCTAGGTATTCTCCTTATATGACAGCTATGGGCATTTGCCCCACAGGGACCTAAACATTATACCAGAAAATTGGAAGGTACAGAAGCTCCTCTTCTGCTGTCCACCTTTTGAATGAGGATGATGCTCTTAAGGTTGATGCCTTGTACCACCTACATGCCACAGGTAGTACATCTTTTCTCTTTCCCTGCTAATGGAAAAGTTACATTAGAAGGTCTTGAGATCTTAGGCTAGTGGCATCTCAGTATTCTTCATTTGATCCAGGGCACCTTGGTGCAGTATACCGCCTCATCCATTCAGGGTATGTCTTTGCTGCAGCTGGAAGTGTGCCTTCTAGCTCAAATAGACAGACCTGTGTTAGCACAGCTGAGCTAGAGAGCTGAAAGTAGCAACAAGAAAAGGCCAGTGGAGTCTCACCCAGAAGTGGTCCTATTCCATAAAGGAAATTATAGTCAGAAAATTACTCTCCAAAAATGGAATCCTCTTTTCAACAGAGCTGCTCCATGTGTTTAGTCTTACTCTCCTTGCTTCAGTGAGAAAAGTAAATTTTTACAGCTGTTTACTCTTGTTAGCCCTGCAGAGTCACTGCAGCGATGAGAAGAGTGAGCTGGATTCTATTCTGGATCACACATCAACAAGAGGATTGTTAATTAAGGTCCAACTGCATGGCCATATTCTGTCCTCATGTACACTGTGCAATCCTACTGAGGTGCAACTGAAGGCAGAATTTGACCTAGGGGGTCCATAATACTAGTGATAATGCATGAAACAGTAAAAAGAACCTAGCTTAACTTTCAGCTCAGAGGCCGAGTCTGCATAGCTAACAGGAAAAAAACAACTTTCGACATGTAAGATAAGCAAATTTGAACCGTTTCCTTTTAGATCAGAACCAAAGGTAGTAAGGCAATAAACAAGCCAAGGCTCTACTCCCTTTCCAACTGTTTATACTCCCTTTCGATCTGAACCTGGTCTTATATGCCCTCCTGTGTTTTCTCTTCAAGCCTGTAAGACAAGTCTCCAAAAGATTCTCCGCCCTTCAGACAGTTTTTCTAGAGGCCATCAGTTCAGCTAAGAGAATGGAAGATCTTCAGACCCTTCCCTTCAAAGCTCTTTAATCAAAATGCAATGATAACCAAATTGGCCCTCACTAATTCCTTTCCCATGTTCCTTTCCCTGACAAATTGGCTGAAGAGAGTCCTTCCTTTTCTCTGATCCTTTCTAAATAATGAGAATTACTGCATACCTTTAATGTAAAGAAGAAACTGGGGGTCACGCTTAAAAAAGCCCTAGAAGCAGTTATCTGACCTTTTGTTCATCTTACAGCAGTATAGGGAGTTGAAGGACTTAATCACCAGATACACCTCTCAGTCGTTCTCTCATCTCTGTGGTCTAAAGCAGGTATCACCTTCCAACCATCAGAGCCCACACTAACAGGGTTTTAGCCATCTCACAGGCAGAAAGAGAGAGATGCTTTCCTTTTAGAACTCTGCAGGGCTGTAAACCTAGGCATTCCTACATCATTTCTCTTGCCACTGCCAGTTTGGCATGCCTGCAAGGAAGCCCTGTATATTGTGGTCTGTTGACTGTTGTTACAGTAATGCCTATAGTGATATTGCCATTAAAGTTCCCACTGTCTGCACTGACCCAGAGGATATAAGAGAAAACAGATAGTTCTATTGCCCTAATTTTAGCTTCTCTTTTTAATGGGTCAGCCAAGATTGCTGAGCTGTGGAGTGCAAACTTTGACTCCCCTTTGCCCTTTAAAGTGGGGTTTTACAGTTCTAAAGGTTTTATAAGACTGAAGCAGTAGTGAGTATCTATGCTTTTAGATATTTATATTTGTTACTAAATTGTAATGGTAACCACACTTAGTGAGAGAGGCTCTTCTTTTCACCTGTGGTTTCCCTGTTTGTGTTTTCTCCATATTTAACATTGATTTTTCATTAAGGGTGCATGGGTGTGGTTAACTACTCTGAGGTTTCTTGAACTGCTTTGCTCAAACAGCATTAGCCAGAATGAAGGAGCCTAGTGTTACAGAATTATTTTGATCCCTCTTGTCATTTGCTAGTAGAAAGATATAATACCAATTGTCTGTAATGACCCATTAAAGACTAAAAGAAACTATATTAACAGGTAAGCAAATCACCTTGTCTCCATTATGACTGTCTGGTTATTAGTTTTAGAGATGTTTCTTTTTAGCAGCTTACAGATACAGAAACAGAAAGCTGGTGTATCCTAAAATGTTGTACAAAGATCCCCCACCCGCAGAAAATTAAAGCCTTAACACTTTAAATATATATATATATATATATATATATACATACACACACACAGAGAGAGCGTTGATTGTCTATGCTATAATATCCTTTAAATGTGGCTCAGTAAGGAGAAGGTTTTTTCCTTATTGTTTTCCCTTTTATATCAATAAGGTTGATCTTTCAACACATTGTGGATTTATGGGTGGTCTGCAACGTAATGGCAGCACAGGACAAACAGCACCATATTATGCTACCTCTACTGTGGAAGTCATTTTTCATGTGTCCACAAGAATGCCGTCAGATTCAGATGATTCACTGACCAAAAAGGTAACTCACTTATATCATTTACTATGATAGACATATTTTTAAGATATTAGTAGTACATTATTTTGAAATACAGGAGTTAATCGTCAGATGCTCAAATCAAAATTTGAATGGAACATAAATTGTGCTATGTATGCAAGCCCCTCTTTATTCTGCAGCCACATGGGAGTTAAATTCTGCAGCTAGATCTCCCAAATTAAGTGCCTTGTGAACATTGGATTCTGCATTTCCATGGCAGCATCAAATACCATATTAGTAATAATAATAGCAATCATTTTATTTCATTTGCCTCACTGCCAAAACCTTCAGAGTTCAGTACAATAGAATAAAAACACAGGCAATATAATGTGATAAAATATCATTCTCTTAAAATACAACCATGGATGAATAAATGAGCCATTGAGTCTAATAAAGGAAAAGAAAAGGAATGAAAGAAAAGTGCTGAGTTATAGTAGCAAAAATCACCAACCAACTTCAATTTAAAACCATGATTGGATCATTCACAATCCAGACAAGCAATCTCCGCTTCAAAGGATGGCCAGAACCCAGACAGGAACCAACTCCGAATTTTGTTGATATCCAGCTACTTTTTCATTTAAGATTGAGCAGTAACTGGCGGGCACTCCAGAATTCAGAGATATTTTGGACAGGTGGCAAACTTCTGCGTGGTTTAAGGATGGTCGGCACCCTACCCTCGTAAAGTGAATTGTTAAGATCAATCAGTAATGGGACCATAGCTAACTCGTTTGCTTTAAAATATGGTTGTGCCCTGAGAAATAACTGTTAAATGTCATTGTGAGGTGCCATATTCATTGACATGTTGATTTCCATATCACATTTGCTTAGTTAACATTAAAAAGATGGAATTTCTGACTACCAGCCCTGCAAACTCATCCTATTTTTGTTAGTCAAGCTGTGTCTTTTCCTTTTCCCATAATATTTGTAATAAAGATCCTGCAGGTCTTAATTCACACCTATGCAATCTCATTGCCTTCAGATCATATCTTCACTTGGGTCTGTGAGATTTGGTTCTAGCAATGATAATAGATATGAAATAAGGTTCACAGTGAAACCAATGAGCTGATGGTTTGAGCCTGAATATCTGTGATATCCAAACCAGCTCCAAAGACAAGGATGAATATACAGCAAGCCCTGTGGGAGCTTCCCTCATCCTCACGGTAAAATCCAAGGTGTCCATTTCTTCAAATCTGACTTGCTGATCCATATGAGCTAATATCAGTATAAACGTTGAAATCCCCCAAAACAATAATCCACTGGAACTCCAACAGCAGTACGCAGACCAGCTCCGAGAACTAAGCTATGAAATCCCACATTTAGAGGTCTATATGCCAACAGAACCAGATAGGGCTATGTGCTTGAATAAACTTGTCCATGTGACTCTCTCGTGCAGTTCAATCAGAAGAAAAATGTCATAGTTGCCCTCACGCACACCTTTTTTTTGGCACATGAGTCAATACCTGACCAGAACAAATCATGAAAAGATTGGGTTTGTCGTGTCAGTCATCCAGGAGTGAGAAAGAGAGAGATGCGAGATCTGGGTGATACTCTCAGATAAGATCATGACATGTATCTGCCATATTCACAACAGGACTGATGTTACCCATCCAAATGTTCACGTAGGAGGAATCCATGTTTCCATCTTAAATCAGTGGAGAAGAATGTCAAGACCACAAGGAGTTTTATACTTCTTTTTCTACTCCTTCCTTTCCCTGTCATCTCTTTCTCAACTCCTGTTGGGAAGTTAAGAGAGATTTATATATTGTGGCATTAAAACCTCATGTTTTTGAGTAGTTTTCATTCATTTGATGCTGCTACAGAAATATCCAATGCTATGTTTAAAAAAAAAAAAAAGAACTTGTATTACAGAAAGGTGAGACTCATAGTGTGCTGCCACTCAAGGATGAGAGAAGGGTAGCAGTCTCTTTCCCTCTGCTTCCACCAGGCAGATTCTCAATGACACTTTATCCTGCATGAAACCTGGTGGCTCGTAGGCCAGTAGCTCTATTTTCATATCTGTATTCTTTGCTCTATTCTTTCTGCCTGTCTCCAGGCAGAAGACTCAGAGTGCTGATCATCTTGCTTAGGTTGCAAACCCAAGAGTATAACAGAACGTTTTACCTCTGCTGGCCAAGGAAGCATCCTGTAAATACTGCAGTGGTACAGTGGGCTGTATATTCTATGGTTGTGGAATTACAGTCTGATGCAGTAACTCCACCTAAATATTTCGTTATGGTGTTTTATTTTTTTTATTAGGCACAATGGGATGCATCCACTTCTGGTGTAAAATTCACTAAAATTAGTGCACATCCATCAGGGATGAATTTGGCCCAGTAATTCTATAGACTACAATAATACAAATATTTTTTCCTTTACATATTTTTGTATGGCCTACATTTTAAAAATAAAGTTTTTGTGTTAAAAATGTTGTTGCTCTTTTTAAAATAAATGCTACAACTCCAAATAATATTAAAAGACTTGGCCCTGAACAAAAGCTTTCCTACTGACATAATCAAAATTCAGCTGGTACCTTTTCCAGCTGTAAGATTTAGCATCATTAGTGTTAAAACTTTTATCAGATATCTCACAGCTAGAATAAAAATCAATCTCAGTAACAGCATCCTACAGTTCCTTGTCTTAGTCTAACTAAATTGTACCTAACAGTTTAAAAATGAGCTGCAAAATTTCCAAGTGATTTATTCCATCTTCTCCCATTGTCATAGTAGAACATTTTCAATTCAGAAATCTGGTTGCAACCCTATACTGAACTCTTGCTCCTTCGCTTCAGAAATTTGTTAGCTCTAGCTAGATTAGATTTTTAGCAGCTAATCTAACAGCTGTAGGGGTTTGCAAAGTGGGGACAGAGCTGTGCTATTGGATTTGTCCAATTCATTTGACTCCAGGACTATAATTGCACTTATGTCTTACAAGGCTTTTATAGCCTCAGGCTGGCCAGCAGCAGAAAAACAAATTGGCAGTGATACAGTAAGAGTGAAAGGGAATGAAAGGCACACATTATCAGTCTCCAGGCAGCGCTGTTCTGGCAGGAAGTTTCTTGGTTAATTTACAAATAAAACTTAGATTTTAGGATGGGCTCACTGTCAGACAAACAATGGGGATGTCAGGCCTGACTGTTACTTAGTAAAAGTAGCAGCCATGCCTACCCAAAAGCAGGAATTCTTCAATCAAACAGACGACTCCTTTTTGGAGCCAGCTGGCTAAGTAATGCAATTAGTAGGAAAAGGAGGTCAGACTATTAGGTGTGTACCATGACCAGTGTCAGCAGTGGCGTGTTGCCTGGCAGGCAGCATGTAGACTAGCTAAAGCAGAGTGCCTTTAAAACTATTTACTCAAGTGAGTGAGTGGAAGCGGCGCACGACTAGCCTCAGAACATGGAGTTGTTTTTGTAAGGCTTGAAAAATGAGCATTTGTGCTGTAACTGACAAGTACATTCTGAAGCACATATTCTAGCTGAGGGAGTGCAGCCGAGACATGATTAATGATGGCATAATTCAAATTAGAGGCTATAAATTGACCAAAGTTATATGTATATTCATGGTTTGATCTAATTGAGACATTAAGGAAACTACTGTACTTGAACAAATGTGTGGTTAAAAATGTGTGTAAATCTCATTCAGATGATTAAAGTTGTCTTTATGTGCAGTTTATAAATTAATACTCATCTATGAAGTTTTGAGACGGAAAATGCAAACAACTGCAAGAGCTTCCTTCCTTGAATGTATGTTTATGTACCTCTCCAGTATCTTTCAGAGCAGGGCTCAATTTAAAACGACAGTCTACTTATTTGTCTTATTTTCCAGTTGTTTCGTCCTTTTCATGGTCAGTTGGTTGGTTTTTTCAAACTATGTATATTTGGAGGAGAGAGGGCTCGTCGCTTTTGCTCTGAATTATTCATGTATTTGCTTATTTGGCCATAGCCAAAACTGTTCCTTTGTTGTTTAGTTTGTGCTCAGAAGCTTTAGATATATCGCACACAAAATCCAAAATATTATTTTCTTTCAGTGATCCAAGTAAGAAGTCTACGGTTAGTGTGTTATGGTTTTACTATTCCTTGTCATTGGCAATATAACCATGTTTTAGCAAAACACAAAAGCTGATCTTTCAAAAAAATCGATAGGTACGGTATTATAACGATATAATCAATATTGTCAGAATTCACTGAATTTTCAGTGAAATCTTTTCCTCCTTTGGTTTACAAGACTATGTCCTCTCCTGGTTCCCCTCCTAACCCTCTAATCTCTACTTCAGCATGTCCTTCCTCATCTGCCCTCTAATTTTCTGTGGGACTTCCACAGGCCTCTGGCTTAGGTCCCTTTCTCTTCTGCCTATACATTTCATCTCTGGGTAATCTCCGCCGCGAACACAAATTTAACAACCATGCCAGCAACTCACAGATTTACATCTCTACTCCATGTTGTCTTCTGTCCAACCTAAAGCCTCCGTCTGCCTCCCTGACATTTTGTGAATGTCTAGCTAAACATGGCTAAAACAGAGCTCCTAATCTTCCCCCTCTGACATCTTCCCTACTATCTCCTTTCTCTATCGCTGTGGACAACACCACCATCGTGCCTGTCAGGCAGGCCATAACCTGAGTGTCACCTTTGACTCCGATCTCTCTCTGGGTCCTCATAGCCAGGCTATATCTAAATCGCTAAGCTACGGCCTTTCTACATCCACTAAAGCTCTCGCCCAAACTCTCATCATCTTGCGCCTTGATTAATGCAACATTCTTTTTTCTGGCCTTGACAAGTGCAATCTTTCCCCATTCATATCCATTCAGAATGCTGCTGCTAAGTTCTTTACCTAGCCCATCACTTTGACAATGTCACCTCTCTTTGAATCCCCCCATAGGCTCCCCTTTCTCTGTTGAATCAAACATAAACTGCTTGCGTTCACTTTCAAGGCCCTTCATAGTAAATCCCCATCCTACTTATCTCTCATTCACTGCTGAGCTGTCGACGTTCGCCTCTGTTTGGCCCATGATGCCAGCCTCCACTGCCCACTTGTTAAATTTTCAAACAGGCACCTTTGTGCTTTCTCCCTTGTTGCCCCATGTGTTTGGAAGGCATTTGGCATAAACATCCACAAAGCTACCTTATTACCCACCTTCAGATCCCCCTCAAAATTCTGCTTTGCAATGATATCTACAAAAAACTTGACAATGGTTAAGCTGTTGGGTGGAGAAACCACTGCCCGTCATGCTGAACAATATTGTCTCATTGTTTACTTATATTCCCATCTGTCTATATCTATCTGTTGGTTTTCATCTTGTACACTAGATTGTAAGTCTCTGGGGGTGGGGAATGTCTTTTTGCTCTGTGTTTGTACAGTGCCTAACACAATGTGGTCTATGGCGAGGGCCCCTAGGCACTATTGTAGTACAAATAATACTACTACTGATCAAGGAGATATGTCTTTTTAGAAATATTATGATAAATGGTCTTCTATGCTTTAAAGGCAATTGTCATTCTAATGTAAAGCAAATGCATGTTTCTGGCATGTTACTTTGGGCTGTGATTGTGTTGTATCTCATAGATGAAGCAGAATGTAGCCTTGCGAGTACTTGGATGGGTGTAACGTCTCAGAGAATCCTAGGAACTATAGGAAGTGAGGTTCATGATTCAGTAGGTGTCTGTCTTTCTTCTAAGTGAGTATCAAACTGATGCCAAAAGCGTTGTACTAAGTAAGGAGCGCTATGCTGCTGAAGGGAGATATCTTTCAGAAAAGACATAAAGCCTAGGCTCCAATCATGTGTGATCATGAAGTATGCCATTGTGGTTTTTGCAAAAAATAGGGGCATAAGCCATTGTTTCCTGGTTAAATGGCAACTAACAAAATTACATTCTTTTGGCCTAATTTCCTCCTGTTTTGGATGTTCTCTTGCATCTAAGTCCTACTACGAAATATAGTGTTGCTGATTCAGAATGGCTACTATGTTAGCACTCTAGAAGTGGCTATGTTTCAGACGTAGGTGGACCGATCACTGTAATGTTTGTAAAGTATTTTGGGATTCTTCAGAATGAAAAGTGCTGATAAATATAAGAAATCATTGGTTGAAGAATTAATATGATTAAAAAATGTTACATTTTTAAAAGGATTTGGTCCTATGTTTTGCTCCCTGCTTTCTATACACCTGAAGATGCTGTTTGTCCTTCCAGAGTACTCTGAGGCAGAGCATTATAGGAGGCATTTCTTCATAACTTTGTATCTTACAATTAAATGAATGTGCTTGTGTTCTCCTGTGCATTTTCCTGTGTGGTTGGATAATCTATGAAGAGGGTGTTCTGTGAACTCATGTATGTTATTTACTGAAATTTGTTAAATTAGTGAAGGTTTAAAAATTCAAGCAATGCAGGTTTTTAATTTGTTGCAAAGCTACTACTAGAGCTCTGTCTTAACTCCAAGCCTATATTTGATGAGTTGGGTTATATATATATTAATCCTCATTTACATTGAGTTGCACTTCCAAAAATAATCCCATTGAACTGTTTTCAAAAATGCTATTCAGTGAGTACAGGTGGTCTAATTGGGCCCTTACTGTTGTTCAGCTAGTAAACTAATATATTAATGCACCACATTCCCTTCCACTTTCCTTTTACCTTTTTACTTTACAATATTACCTTACCTTTTACCTTTTTACTTTACAATAGTCCCAATATTCACACATTATTGTTATTTTTATCTCAGTCATCAGATATCATTAGAAAATAATGAAATGCTTGTAGCCATGGACACGATAGTGAGAAAGTTAATTTACGCTAATCTGTATTGGTCCAGGAAAAAAAAATACTTTGTGTAGTGTTTACACATTTCAAACTGCAGAATGAGGGACTGATGATTACTTGTTTTGTAGATAGGATTGAAATGGATTTTCATTTATATGTATAAATTAGAGAAATAAATTCAGCAACTTTTCTGTGTCAAGTAAAATCAAATAATGAGCTGTGAACTTGAGTTATTGTATGAACAGGTCCTATTTTGCTTTGCTTAAGTATAAATCCCAGGTATTATTAACCTATAATGTCATAAGCAAAGGTACTGTTGTTAGCATTCTGATCCTCGCAATGTTGTTTTGCAACTTTGATAGAAATCCTTTACTGTTAAAAATTACCATCCAATTCTAGTAGCGTGAAATTCATCACTATACAGAAGGCCAGAACAAGGCCTATGCTTCACTTTAATCACCAGCTTTATCTATTTTAAGATTTAAATGGAATTTAAGTATTGCACAGGTCTTGTGCTGGCCCTCTGCATAGGGGTAAATTATCACCTTTAATAATAGATATAATGTCAAGGTAAAGTGTATAGCAGAAGCAGTCTATTGTGGATGCTCAATATGTAATTTTCAAATGACTTTACCTTTGTTAAATCACAAACATTTTTTTCCTCGCAAAGAAAAGGCACTACTACTTAATAAGGACTATTTCTATACTACGTTTCAACTTTAAACCTCCGACATATTTTGTGTTTTTTTAAAAAGGTAATTTTTCTCCTATTCTGTCATAACTCAAAAACTACTTCAGAGATTTTGCTCACTTTTTCAAAACACAGTTTGCCTTCTGATACAGATATAGCACAGTACGTCTCAGACCCAAAAGTGAATCTTTCAGATATTTGAGAAACTAGGATATGGGGAGCCACAATGGAAAGTGTGAAATGGAAATCTGAATCATAGCAGTTCCTATCACTTTGAAAGCTATAATATTTTAATTGAATTAAAATGTTCCACTAATTAACATTTTGGTCTAATAATCCAGATTAGCACAGAAATCTGTATATATACTGTGTATGTACACCTCATGCAAGTTGATAATTTGATAATTACTTAATCAAACCATTAAATAACAATGTGTTTTGAATGAGGCAAGTTATTTAGTTGCTTTTAATTCCAACAAGCATAGAAAAAGCAATATTTTAACCTTTTCTGTAATGAAATATTTCTACTGTCAAGCATTGTAATTCAATTTGTAAGCCATGACCCCTCATAAACTGTTGTTATCACTCTGATTAATAAAGAGCCAATTTGCCGTTGCAGCTTCGTCACTTGGGAAATGATGAGGTTCACATCGTCTGGTCTGAGCACACCAGGAACTACCGCAGGGGTATTATACCAACAGATTTTGGAGATGTTTTAATTATTATTTATCCAATGAAGAATCACATGTTTTTCGTGGAGATAATGAAGAAACCAGAGGTATGTTTTGACTACTTTGTGTCCATCATAAACATTGTTCAAATGGCCAACAATTCTTGTGTAGCTTAAAGGAAATTTTATTCTGAAAATTTAATCTGAATAGAGATTTAAATGGTTAGATCTGAAATGAAGAACATATTCATATTACATGAATGCTTAGCAAATTCTAAAAGTGTAGGAGAAAGATTTTTTTTAAACAATGGCAAAGATCCATTTAAACTAATAAAAGCAAGGGAATTTAGAGTTCAGGCTTTCCCTTGGCATTAATTCACCCCATCATGCTTAGCTACTGCTGCACAGATGGTACTGTATGTACCCTCAAACCTCTGCAATAATCTGACTCACTGGGATGATTTAAGAATTGTGTGTGATTCCTCTCACTCAGCATCCTTGTTTTTGTGTGAAATGTCAAAAAATTTGTATTTGTAAGATGTTTTGATTTCTTTTCTGTTTTTGTCAACAATTTAAAATAGTGTAACTTTTTTCAACTTCCTTGTAAATGTGGATTTAAATCTCAAAGCAAAAGCAACCATTGTCTAAAAAGTTGTTTACATAAATATGGGATTTTTATATTTTAAATGCTGAAAGTGTGTGTGTGTGTGTGTGTGTGTAGTTAATTTTGGTTCTAATGTATTTGATATGTTAGCTTTTCAAGGCAACATTTATTTTATAAAAGTAACTATAGTCCACAGTATCATCTCCTTCATACATAAAGGATGATATTTGTCTTGGAGCACTGCCAAGTGCAGAAATGATGCATAAATCCAGTGACACGTTTTTCAAGTTGAATATGATACATCTTTCAGAACTTAGTGAAAGATACAAGAACTGTACAGTTTAATAACTAGTAATTTGTCAGCATACATTTACAAAAATAAACCTTAGAATTTGCAACTTTTAAAATTATGACCTTTTATTGCTGTTAAACTTTTATTTTGGGTATATAAAGAATCTGCAATCCACTTGTCAGGGACTTAAAAGTAGTGAAAATGACATCTTAGAATGCTGAAGTATTATACAATAATATAGCCAACAATATCTTATTATGAGAGTTTCATAAACATTTTTTAGAATTTAGCATTATAAGCTGGTTTGAAAATTGTGTGAATCGATCCAAGAAAAGCTGTCTCTTTTACATATTAGTCAAAAAAACACCCAAAGGCATAAAGAATAATAGCCAACTGGAAATTTAGTGTTATCCCTACATTTAAAGTACAAACCATTACAATGTAATAAAATTAATCCAGACATTTCCAGGGCAAGTGTGGCTGACCTTTTGTTCACCAGCTACTGACCCCAGGGTGAATGAAAGAGGCTTGCAGAGAGAAATGTCTGTTGTTTGGCTTCAGTCCCTGGTATTTAAATTGCATTCCCTAATCAAATGAAAAGGCTGTCCTCTCTATCAGGTTACAGAATCCATGGCAACATTTGGCCTTTTATATACATAATGTTAGCCTTTTTGTTTGCATCTAAGTAGAGACACCTGGAGCAATGTTAACATTAACCGATTTAGCATTAATAGCTTCATTATATAAGAATTTCTGATCAGATAGCTGTTACTTTTGTTATATTGCTTCAGCTTGTATTGTTTTCATTTTTATCTCCCTGCTTGGCAACCAGGCAATGATTTGCAAATTTTTTTTGTCTTGATTAATTAAGCAATATAATTATCAGGAACTGTGATGCAGTCTTTGCTCAACAAAGCTTCTGAGAGAAAACAATAGTAAGTCTGTTAGTATGAATGCATTCCACGCGTCACAGATGCATGAGGATATTCTAAACAATGAGACGAAAAGCTGCCTGCAAAAGAGGACAAAGAATGCCATGCAGACTCTACACACTACACATACCGCCAGGGACATACTGTGGGTTCCCTGGGACACAGATGCCTCGTTAGATTGCAGCTAGTCATCAGAGATTAATTCTCAGCCATTTGGTACTATAATTTACCCATTCCCCAGTCTTTTAACTAGTGCTGCTTACTATAGAACTGAAGTAGTTATATTCAAAAGGTTTATTTAACCTTGCCTTCTTTTAGTGTGTACAACAACAACAAAAACCCTTTTTTTTCTTAGTGATTGTAATGAAGCAGGTGTTTGCAATGTGGGAATATTAATTTTTGTGTTTCATGGATAACTTACTTCAGAATTAGTAGTAGTCAAAGAAGGGGTCCATTTCTTTCCACATCTGTAAATTTTATCCAACTATAGTTTATTTCTATTATTATATTTATTTTTCATCCCTCTGACACTTATAATTCTTCAAAAGGTAATCTTGTTTTGGCTCCTTAAAATAATATCAACTTACATAACTTACTGAAGAGAGAACATTGTAATATATATTCAATTTACTTATTCAACCAAACTCCCTCATTAAGGCAAAAAGATCCACATGGGTGAAAGCTTATGACTGCATGGAGTCTCATTGATTTTAATGGGCCTCAGCATGGGCATTGAGAGTGCATAGGAATTGATAATTCTAGTCTTTTTTTTTGTTCATATGGATTTATGGCCCAGTCGTGTATTTCTTGTGCAGCTAACACTCCCATAGAATCAGAGTCCACAATTGGGGATTTATATACCAGTCCTGAAATGTACTGAACACCCTCAACATCCACTGAATTCAGATGGAATTAAGCATTCTCAACAATTCAGAGGATTGGACCCTTAAACTGAAATCTCTTTATGTTAGGGATTTAACACATTTTGAGAAGTGCTATAAGTATAGCTGGCAATTGATACATATGTATTTTTATTCATAATAAAATCCTGCTAACTCCATATTTTACTGTGTGACCCCGTCTTCCTCACCAAGAAACTCCTCACTTTTTATGAGGCAGAGAGGTAGCATGGGGGCTCACAGCTCTGGATGCCCCAGCACCGTGTTACACATTGGCATTCTGAATATTTGTCTTTCATAGTGTGCATTCAGTAACTGTCATGCAAAGTCAATTCTGTACCTCCCTGTGTTCACTGTCTCTGAGTCCATACTGCACTGAAAAAGAGATGTGTGCATAAAGGGTGTTTGTGTATACATGTTGATAGAACCTGTCATCTTTTGTTTGTGTTTTTAAATTTTTATAAAATTAAAATTAAATAATTAAAATTTATTTTCATTATTTTAAATAATTAAAAGGAATTAATTAATTCCAGGAATTAAATAATTTTCATACAAACCTTTGCCTGGAACTTCCCTTGACGTAGTCCAAAAGTTGTCTACCCCCTTCTTTCTTCTTCAAGGTCCTCCTGAAAATATGCTTCTTTAAAGAGGCCTGTAAACCATAGGCCACCCCTCCACCTGATATACTGAAAGATAGTCACATAAAAAGTAATCCGTACAAAATCATGGAACTGACAAGACAACTTTTTATTGCTACCCTTCTTACCACATCCTTGTTTGCATATCCTATGTTCTTCTTCGAGTGCTTGCTCATGTCGATTCCATTCTAGATGTGCGCGCACCCACGTGCACAGTTGTTGGAGACTTTTGCCTTAGCGGTATCTGTAGGGCTGGTTGTGGCGCCCCCTTGAGTGCCACGCTTATGCGTCGGTATATCAGGTGCCTCCTGCCCTACGCCCCCTCTGTTCCTTCTTACCGCCCGTGGTGGTTGGTCGGAGCGCCTCTTTCCCTTGCTTTGCAAGTGATCAGTGGGTTTTTTTCCTACTCATCGAACCTCATGTTCCAGCTGTAAATAGTTGGTTTTTTATAGTAGATTAGTTAGTAACGCGGCAGCTCCCGCTTCCCGGCTCTTTGAGCTCTGGTCAAGTGAAAAATTCTATTAGTTAGTAACGGGGCAGCTCCAGGCACCAGCGCAGCAAGTGCATGCCTGGGGCAGGAAGCCGCGGGGGGCGGCCTGCTGGTTATTGTGAGGGCGGCAATAAGGTGGCTTTTGGAGGCGCGCCTGCAGGAGGTCCGCTGGTCCCGCGGCTTTGATGGCGGGGACGCTGATGGCGTGGCTCCGGCGGACCTCCTGCAGGCATGCCGCCAAATTCGCGTGACCAGCGGACCGTCCGCAGGCTCGCCACCGAAAGCCACCTGCCTGCTGTGCTTGGGGCTGCAAAAAACATAGAGCCGCCCTTGGTTAGGAAGTAGCTGTTAAGTACTATAGCTAGTCAGTTAGGGTCCCGGCGGGTACTTTGCCCCAGGCAGGGCATGCCCCGGTCTCCAGGTTTTAAGCCCTGCTCTGACTGCAACAGGCCTATGCCTGTTAGTGACCCACGTGGCAGCTGTCTGAAGTGCCTGGGGGACTCCCACATTAAAGAAAAGTGTCGCATCTGTAAGAACTTTCGTCCCAGGACACAGAAAGAATGCGACATTCGCTTGAGGGCCTCCTCATGGAGGCCGCTCTTTGCCTAGCCTCAGGAATGCCCAACAGTTCAGCCTCAGAATGTAGCGCACCCTTGGCACTGGGCTCTTCTCGGCACCAATTCCCTTCGCCGGTGCCCAAGAAGAAGACGAAGAAGAGGGATCTGGCACTGAGCAAGTCGGACCAAGGGGCATTGGGCAAATGACCATGCTTGGTCTGCCCACCCACGCCAGAGACGCAAGGGGACATGCTCCCAAGAGGACCTACTTACCCCCCTAAGGGATCCACCAACAACTCCGGGGAGCGATAGGGGACCCAGACTGATGGCACAGTGAACGCCTTCTCAGCTCCCGGCGCCCAGAGAGCAAAGGACTCTCCCACCGCAGCCAGCACTGTGTGTGGCAATGAACCTGGTGAAGGCTCCCTACGAGGACAAGCCATCTGTGAAGGCCTCCCAGAAGGCGAGTGAGCGCCACCAGTCTCCAGAGCCAAGGCAGAGCCCTTTGTCATCGTGCCCTT